TTCTCCAGAAACTGTTATCTGCCGTATACATGCCCCATAATGTATACTGCATCCACATCGATCAGAAGTCATCAGAAACGTTTCGTCGTGCTGTAATCAAAATGACAAAGTGTCTTCCTAATGTGTTTATCACGACAAAAACGGTTAATGTTATTTACTATCACATTTCGCTTCTTGAGGCACAGCTCAATTGCATGGACGATCTACTGCAGAGTAAAACACAGTGGAAATACCTGATTAATTTGGTTGGACAGGATTATCCTTTGTATGAAAACAAAGAAATTGTTAAAGCACTTAAAGGTTTTCTTGGCTATAACATCATTGAGAGCGGAGAATTGCCCAAAGGACAAGATACCCGCGTGCGATACTCTTATGACTTTGTGAAACAATTTAATGGGTTTGAGCACTCTGCATATCTTCCACGAAGGGCAAGGCTAAAACCTCAGCCTCCAAATAATATTACCATTTTAAAGGGATCTACTTTTACATCTTTGACAAGAGAATTCTGTAAGTACCTTCGAAATGACTCATTACCAAAAAGACTATTCAGTTGGTTAGATGACACTCTCGCCCCTGAGGAATCATTTTACTCCTCTCTTCAACAAGTCAAAGGTGTGCCCGGGGGTTACCATGGTAATCAGAGCGAATGGATCATGCGCGCAATTCACTGGGAGACAAACGACAAAACTGTCAAGTGCTATGGAAAGTGGCTGCGATCGGTTTGTGTCATTGATTTTCCAGACTTCGTATGGGTCTTCGGAAGAAACAACAGAAGAAAACTGTTTGTGCAAAAACTCCCTTTTAATTTCGATGAACGAGTTCATGATTGTCTTGATCTTGGAAAAAAGAAACGGGTTTATGACACTTTTATTTATCAACCATAATTATGTGCCATTTGTAAAATATTCGCACATTATTGTATCACACCTATTAGCTCTGGTTCTTTGATGCTGTTCTCTCACTTTTGGCCACAATAACATCATACTTTCGAACTGTTTTTCATCTCTTACTTTTCCCCTTCTTTTCTTTCTTTGCTCGAGCTAAAGCGCTGATAAAAACTGTTTTTACTTACGGCTCACTAAACGTGACAAACTAACGTGTTCCCGATGTTGTTATACAAACTCAAACCATGACTTCTCACATGCACTGCCTGTAGCCAAGCCGTTCTGAGGAATGAAAGATGGTCTACCAGCGGATTTACCCATATTCACGGCTATTGATGCGTATAGTTTCAGTACTAGCCTGCGAAGCGCAGACGTTGTTCCGGTATGTCGCTTCTCTCCCTCCGAAACATAACATCTGCGAACCCGAGCGGCAAAACGATTTCCGTGACGTAGAACCTTTTTAACCAATGGCTTTTAGCTCTTAAAATCAAGGAACTAACTCGCGAGACTTCCGGTCGCAAGATCATGCGCAGTTGATTCGTTCAGCTGCAAGTCGAAATTGAACGGACGACGTAGCCTGTGTACAGCCGCCCTTTTTCCTCAGAACGACGTGTTTACGAAAGTTAATTTGCCCAGACTGTGGGACTGATTGATAAACTAAGTACCAAGAGGATTCATATTGAAGAAAAGATTAGAGGAAATATTTTATCTTTTTGCCCACGGAGTCAATGATTTATCATACCTTGTTGTTTTGATCACATTCGAAACGATAAATGTGCCAATGACAGTAGACGCATCATGCTGTTTGTTGCTTCTGTTCCTTTCTGGTTCCTGACTGGGAAGTATGCTTGAAAGAACTCCTCGAATCAGTCAAGGATGTGTCTGTACAATCGATACACCACCTTTTGTCAGCGCTGGTTGAACTGAAAAAAAATCGCAATTCTGAGCGCGATTATTTTGTCCAGGTTTTGTTTATTTTTATGTCACGTACTACCGTGTTTTATGAAATGAAACCAAAGACCCACATCACATACATAGCTTACGAAGCCATTGCTTCACAAAGAAGTCAGCATTCAACGTCGCAGGAAACCTACTTGTTAAAAGGCGTGAAATGCACGTTCCGCTAAAATCCAAGACACGCCAGCGCGCGACGTCGCGAGCAGTCACTTGAGCTGTTTTCTATCCTTTGATCTGATTGGCCGCTCGGGTTCGCAGACGTTTTTTTTTTCGGAGGAAGGGAAGCGACGACCGGAAATACGTCTGCGGTTGGCAGGCTATTTCAGTACCCGTTCATCCTCGGACACAAAAACCGCGGATCTAAAGTCCTATTTCATGAACTGACATGGCTTTATAAAGTGGTTAGGACTTTCTATATGTATTTTTTTCGTTTTCGTTTTCGTTTTCTTTTTGCCATTGTTACCGGACTTATTACCGAGGTGTTTCGTCGTAACTGTACTGGATTTAAGCTCGTTCGTAGGTTTTTTTCTTCAGAAATTAGGAAGGGGAGAAACCCGACGGAATGAGGATGTGTAGATTTTAAACGTTAGCGGTTTGATCAGCATTGAGGGTTCGACTGAACCTTCCGAACGATCCCTACGTACATTTGGACGCATCCTGTCCTAAGGTTAGGTGTACAGAAAGATAGCCTGCGTGGCAAATCGCATTTTTATTCCTCTCTTGAATGCCTTCAAAAAAGGCGTATTCCACACTCTGTCTCAGTGATGGCAAGCTAGGTTCGTGCACTTCAAAGAATCACTTTCCTCCTCTACAGGCTTCCCAAGTCGTAGAAGCGAGAACGAAACAGGAGCAGCGCGAGAGCTGGAGACAAGCGAGAAGCGCCAGAGGGGGATGATGGGAATAGGTTTTGATAGATTGTGCTCGCAGAAGTTGCATAACATTCTACTGGCAGTGCTCGTATATTTCTAAAATTATGCCAATAATTATGCTCATTTTAGCAAAAAATTCAGAAATTATGCTTCTACTTTTCACTTTAAATTTGATAAAAACACCTCAATAACTACACAGCAAACAACTGTCAACAACCCATTATCCCTATTTACATCTACAAACTTTAGAATTGTGAATAATCCATTGTTTGACACGGTGTAAAAACTCAAACAATTTTAAATAAACTGCACGTGTATGCCATCTTGGGTAAATGAGCTACTTATACGCATGCGTTTAGTTCTGTAGAAAGAATCCTGGGTCACTAGCTTCCTGTGGGACTAAGGTCCCATGAATGTTACTTTAAGTAGACAAAAATTTGATTTTATTAGTCTGTAACACTCATTTCGGGCCAGAAAATTTGTTATATGATAAAAAATGAATATTTTGTCTGCAAAGCTAGCCAAAAGTGCAAATTACACTGCTTTGTTTACTGTTAAGTATCAAATAATACTGACAGTGGTTTTTTTTTCGGAAAATTATAGAATTCCTTGAAATTATGCTCATCATGATGAATTATGCCAAAAATAATGCCAGCACAGTCTATCAATGCCTACAATCTTGGATAAAATAAATGAGAAATCCCTCCCCCCCCCGTCCCTTCCCCAAAATCAAGGATGGGGAAAATGGTGCGTTTTGGCTTTTGCGCGGCTTTCATCCTTAATTTGGAGAGGACGGAGGTTTACTGCTCCATTTTATTTTGTCCAAGAGTGTAAATGGGAACGAGCGCAGAGTGCGAGCGTGATGGGAATTCGAGGAAAAAGAGAAAAAAGGTTTGCCTGTCTCTTCACTTTTTCTCCCCTTCCCATCACTCCTTTCGCCCTCTCTCTCTTTAATTATAGGCCATTTCTGAGTAGTTCCAAGCCTCTGTTTCAAAGCGAGGCTAACTGCGAAGCCATTGATTTTCACAAGAAACGTTTTGCACTTAGCCTCGTTTTGAAAGGGAGAGTTTTAGGAACTCGGAAATGGCCTATTAAATCAAATATCCCCCCCCCCCCCACAAAAAAAAAGAAAAAGTGATCGCGAGCAACTGGGAACGAGGCAGCCTTCTATACATTCTTTATAACCCTGAAAGAGTAGTAAAATGACCATGAGCCCCTTTTCAAAAAGTCTCTCTCTGGGTTTTGTACTTTGTAAAAGATTGACTTAACTTAAAAATGAACTGTGCTAGCGCGTGAGCATTAGTTTAGGGTTTCCGAGGTAAGAGTAAATGTTTTTGACGTACTTTTTCAGCATTTTTTTTCGTCTTGATCATGATGACGATGGTTTTGGATTGGGATATGACCTGGAGCTGATTATGACATAAGCGTAGCATTCAGTACAATTAAACCTGTAATCAGGTAGTCCTTCTTGCTTCTTCCCTTTTGTTTCCCCGAAGGTTAAAAAAAACGCCTGATCGCAGGTTAAGTATTCATTAAAATGGAAAACGTGCTAAAAATTACCCGAAATATTGATGCCCTTACGTGAAACTCGCTGAAATAGCAGCGAAACTAAAACAAAGATCATGCATGATTGAGGAACCTCTGACCACTGATGACGTAAAACGTTTGACTTATTTAAAAATAGGAGGTACGTCATGTATGAAATCGAGGATGGGAAATTCCCTAGAAGATGGCGGCATCCACAGACAATTAGTCGTTGTCCTCCGTTGCGGGTAAATTATGCTACAAAAAGAGATAGATTAGTTTCATTTTAGCATGGCAGAAGCCGAGAAAAAATATTATATTCTTGTTCAAGATCGTGTGGGTTATCTGCAAGAGAGAAGCGTGATGTCTTTTGGTGCAATGAAGTCAACACCTACACAGGTATTAAAAGGAGAGTTATTGGAGGCTCTTCCAGAAACAGAGCAACCTAACGACTCAACAAGAATAGCTCTTGCTGGAATTGATCGGAAAAATTTACGTCTTGAATGTCGTACAGAAGACATAACGCGACTCACGAGCGAAGATGCTAACCTACTCTTGGCGATTTCTTCAGTAGGTTTGAGATATCACACTTTTATTGATAGGAAACGTTTAGATTTCGGGAGACAGATCTCACCCGGAAGTCAGGTGTTCGTGGAAGTGAAAGGTTTTTCCAAGAAATTACACGGAACCGTGTGGTACATTGGTGAATTGATATCCCTTCATGGGACCATGTTTGGCGTAGAGTTGATTGTAAGTAACTCCATGTGTACATGTATAGTGGAACCTCGTTAATTAAACATTGTGTGATGTGCTAAGGGACTGACAAAATACGATCGCTATACCAAGGTTTTTTTTAAGCTTATATCGAATTTGCTTTCTTCACATTTTACCGCAAATGGGGCAAAAACACATTCATTATTCTAGGACTTTGTTATATGGAGAATTAAAGGGTTGTTATAGTGAGGTTCTAATGTATGTTCTCTTTGTAAACTGAACTCAGGCCCTAGTTGTGGTTGTTTCATGCGAAAGTCAATTCACCCGAAGTTGTTTCACCAGAACGTAAGTTAATTCACCCGATGACAAACAACACTTTACAACATGCCTTATCAGTAATGCTTTTTAGTTAAGCTTGGAATCTTTTTCTGCAATTGTCAAAAAAAGATCGAGCAATGTGAATGGTCTTAGCACATTCAAGATAAGGAAAGACTGTACATAGGCTGCCCTGCACATAAAAACTGAAGTCTACATATACTTAATTGATCGCAGTGATTGCTATCTCGATCTTTGATATACTTTGTGTGAAGTTTTAACTGAAAAAAGCTGTTGATGCACATGTGCCGTCACTGTCTTTTTCTCAGGCTTAGGGAATGATAAATAAACATTGGGTGAATTGTCTTAAGTCAGGCGCAAGACAACTTCAGGCAACTTGTCTTTGGGGCGAAACAACCTGTTACCCAAAGGGTGAATAAGATCTGCTGGCTAAATTTCTATCCAGCAGATAATGAATTTGTTTCCCATAATTGTTATCTTCTGGATAGTGATTTATTTGTTGGATAGCATTATCCAACATTTGAACAAGGAGGACTAGATGTTGGGTTCAGCTTTATTGATTACTTTTTGAAAACCAAGCACTTCCCTCTGTACAGGGCGTATGGAAAAGCTGGACTCCGGAATCCGGAACCGGAACCAGAACTTAAATTGAGACCAGGGTAAACTGGGAAGCACTGAAACCAGTTCCCGATACCCGTGTGGAAATAAAATTCAAGATGGCATCCTCTGCTATCATTGTTTTGAGAAATTTTCAGCGCAGTGATCATGATACCAAAGATATACTCATCGCCCAAAAGAGCTTACGTTTGGTTATTTAATACATGCATATGTTCTACTTTATCAAACGTGCTTACACATCACGCTTAGACACTTTTACCAGAAAAAACAAACAAACAAACAAAATATTCAGTTGTAATTTACATGACTTTATAAAAAAAGAACATAACCACTAAAATTCGAAGAATCAGCCCATGCTGTTCCGCCGCAGACTCGAGCATAAATTCAAGGCAGAACAACTTCACATTTTCACACGTACTCACATTTCAATCGATTCTTTACTTTGTCACGATCTGTAAACAAAAACAGATATGTTTTTGTAAATCGGTAATATTTTTTCAAACTCGGTAAAACGGAAAAGAATGAAAACTTTTATATTCTTACTCATACCTTTTGTTAAAAGGGCTCCGTGTTTCATCCATTGTGAGGGAAAGGCGGCAAAGGGAGGAGGAATACTCATGTCAATCATGATCCCAACTTGCAACACTCACAGGTATATGAAATTCTCGAAGAAAAATTTTGCGCTGTACGCAAAAAATGCGACAGTAAAAAATATAATAACAATAAATAAATATAATGTGGGGATGAAAAGTCTTGATCGAGCAGTTATTGTTAGTGACACTCTCAAGACAGAAACGTCTCCAATTTTTATTTCTTAGGTTCGGGTTCCAGTTCCGAATTCCGGCTTTTCCATACGCTCCTCTGTACAACTTACTATGCCCAAAGGTACTGCCAAATGGCTGAGATTCTCTTTTGCAAACAGTTTCACAAGTTAATTGCATTAAACCTAGCATTGACTGGTACGTGTAGCCCTGGTGTAGTCGGTCAAACATCTGGTAATCAAATTCTATCAAACCAGAAACCCATAAGGGGTTGAAACGTGTAACTCGCGTTCAATGCTCGTGAATATTCATTTTGACCATATTTGGAAACCTTAGTGACGGATATCCATTTTCAACAAAATGGCTGCTACGCGATCACCATGCAGATGTTTTAAGACAAGAGTTCTGCATTTCAAGGTTAAAAATACACCGTTAAAAGACAAAAACTGGAAAGAGAAAGTTCGAAAGAATGCTCAGCTTTCTTTTTGTGGAGAAAGGGAAGCTTTTCATCAAGAAATCGTCCTTCGAGGAATTCAACCTTGTTTTCTTCACGGCGGAGCCCATAGTCTGCTTTGAAATGAAACCAAGTCAGCGAAGTTTTTGCTGAATTTTCAGGTACATTTTGCAATCTATGGCCAAGACAATTACGTTCTTGAAAGTAAATTTATTTATTTTTAAATGTTTCATAGAGGTTTTATAAATTTTTCTCTTAATTCGGCGTTGAAGAAAAATTACAAAATGTGCCCCGATTTGAAATAGATTTTGTGTTGAATTTTGCCATGTGTTCAGCCGATTTTGCTTGCGTGAACGGATCCACGATCCAGATAGTGTTTTGCGAATTGCTTTAAAGGATTAACTTTTTGGATTTTGAATAAAAATTTTCAAGAAACGGCTTCTCTGCCTATTGTTTTGAGTTTGTTCATTCATAAAATTAGCTCAAAACACGATTGTGACCACAAACATCCAAGCTGAATTTAAGCTTAATGCTTCTCACATTCATTACATGCATCACTTTTTGCGAAGATGTCAGGTTCAGGTTTTCGACACTTTTCGATATGCAGCTAATGAATTTTATTGGAAAATATTTTTTACTGTTTATTCTAGACTTTTAACATAAGAATTTTAGAAGCCTATTTGCAGTATAAGTTTACTGTCCAGAGAGTCAACGAGGCATCGTTTTTTGAAGTGACAACTTCAAGAAGTCGCAAGGACATCAGTGGATTTCATAATATTACGTTTGGCCAGGGTGGTAAGCCAATAATATCCTGCTCAGATTCCAAGTTTCAACCTTCGAAATCTTTCTCGGCTTTCGGGAGTTTTTCCCCCGTTTGTCGTCCATTTTTTTAAGCGGGCGCGGGAACGTGAAGTAAAATTACGTCACGTTGTTTACGAAGTTTGCTTGGTCAGTTATCTTTTCTTCTCGTTCCAAATATCGTACTTTTGAAAATGAATAATCACGAGCATCGGACAAAGCAAACATATGAGAGTTACACGTTTCAACCCCTTATGAGTTTCTGGTTTTAATGAAAACGTTGGAGCAGAGGTCAGGATACTGATTAAAGCCCGCTGAATTCAGTTTTGACATTTTTTTGAATTTTACAAATAAGGCTACGAAATCGAGTTTTGGAACAGGTTTCTCATTCTGAATAATGTATAGACTGTGCCTACTATTATTAGGGGTATAGCTTCAGAATGGCCGGGTATTCTGCAGTTACTCCCAAAACTACTGTTATTATCGTTATACAGTAATTGATTTTTTTACACACTAAAATGTTACAAGTAATTCAAAATTAGTATTTACATCACAAATTATGATTATATTCTTCGTCTGCGCTGTTCATTTTCTTCGTCAGTCAGCTGGTCGTCAGGTCTGTTCTACTCGGTAAGTTTAAACTCAATATTTTTTGGAAGTACATGAAATCTTTTTTGAAAATTTTGTAGGTTTATTACAAAATGCCCGCTAAATTGAGAGAAACGTAAAAATAACCGCTTAAAACATTAAAGGAAGGTTAATTGAAATAACACAACAGATACAACAGATGCCACGGATGGGCAAAACTGAAGAAAATTGAAACAGACTGAAATTAGGGTTTTTGAAAACTGTTCAGCCTAATAGTTTTTCAAAGTTGATCTCTGCTGTTTGCAACTCATTCAAAAATAATGCTCAGGAGACATATTTGTTTGTCTCGAATTTCTGATTTTGTCATTTCTTTGCTTACTTTAAGTTTCATAGCGATTGAGGGCGATTAATTGGCAAATTGAAACAAAATGAACTGGACTACCGTGATACAGCCCCTTTAACACAACTACCTGTTATATTACTTAAACCCCATTTACACGCGCTAAAAAAATCGGCACGGGACGCATAATTTTTGGCACCGTGCTGACGATTTTAAGACACGGCATTCCCAATTTTCGACGTGTAAACGTATCGGTCCCAAAAGTAATGTGGCACCTGAGTGCTCAAAATTTTAGGGGTCGGGTAAACGAGGCACGGTGCCCAAAATTTGGCGTGCCGTGCCGTGCCGTGCCGATTTCTTTAGCGCGTGTAAATGGGGTTTTAATTTGCCAGTTCCAAATTTATTAAAATTCATCCTTGGATCCAAGGCTAAGCGATATAAAGAAAAAACCGCATTGAGATCGATTAAGGGAAGAATAATTCATTTCTTTTGTTTTATTCCTTTTAGCCTCTGAGCCAAGTATCTTCAAAGAGACACCCTGCACCAACCTCAATTCCTATGACCAATGTTCGAACGCACTTATTAATCCTGATTACTTCTAGTAAATATTACTATTTTTGCTCGCGATGGCTTCATTTGTTAACAATACCGAATTTGCTCTTTTGACACCCAGCAAGTTTAAATAGCACTAATCCAAATTTACACAAGGAAAAAGAGATTCTGCATTCTAAAACCTAGAACAATTATTGACTCACGCAGATCTTGTTTGCTTATGCGAAAAAAACTAGGAAAGACTAGTGGTGATTGAAAATAATGATGTAGAAGGCCTAAATAGAATAACATTTAGCCTTAAATGTAATATAAACTCTTAAGTGTGACAACATTCGCCCTTTAATGCTATGACGTCATGTTAACGTCATCAATGACGTAAGTAACACGTCATTAACCATCTAACCTGGTTGTGAAATGGCCCCCGTCCTGTTCGGGGCAGGTGAGCGGGCTCATTTCTCGCAAAGCGGCTGGTATTCGAGCCTAGCAGCTCTTATTTTAGCACTAATAATATATAGATTTAGCCAGGCCTAAAAACGAAGCATTCGTCTATATACTTATAGCTGTAGAAATACTTGTGTCACAGAACCTCGTGAAGCTCAATAAACTCTGAGCCAAAGAAATTAAGGACCCTTCCATTTGCCTTTTGAGGGACTGGAGTTGAGTTATCATTTAAGAAAAATTACAAACACATCTAAAATGAAAAATTTCCCCCATCCCGCTTGGAACTAAAACAAGAGAGAACTAAAACCATAACACAGTAGCTGGCAGTAGTGTCAAATTTTATTGAAATGCAAGTATGATAAATAAATGTTAGAACAATCATCGACGTCCGCAACTGATGAATCCTTCTGAGATAACTAATTTTCGAAGCTACAAAATTAAATTTTTGGGGCAAATATTCCCAATGCCTGTAAAGCGATAGCCAATCGTGCTGCCTGAGAGATAAGCTTATTCATAATGGCGGACGGCTACGTTTTTTGATCGCTCCGCCACTGACCCTAAAATTTGCCGATATGGCGTCTAATGTAAGCTTAACTTTAGAGCACGTGAGCAGACTTCTAAAACAGTCTTTTTTTTCACCTGCTTACACTCTGGCTTGAGCTGGATGGGAAGCTAACTATAAAACCTTATAGGAGCGCGCGAGTGCGGAGCCCCATAGCTAAGTAAATCTACCCATCCTGGAAAATTTCGTAATCACGTGACCGTACACCGAGCGACCGTCCGTCCCACCACAAGTAGCCTCCCACGCAGGCGTTTTTAGGGGGAGCTCGTTTTTCGAAAAGCGAACTCCCCTAAAAACGCCTGCGAGGGAGGCTACACCACAGGCAAACCAAATAAAATGACTCAATCAACAGGTATGGCAACCCAAATGCAACGGAAGAAAATCGCGTGGCCGCCCGGATTTTAGGGAGAAAAAACAAAAAACAACACGTGGACAACAGAGAAAGAGCTAGGGAGACGAATTTCGTTGGAAGAAAAACATGAAAATTTCATAGCGGTGGTGAGAAAATGAGAAATGTTAGCGGCCAGGTGAAAATGAGCGACAGTGAAAACATAAAAGCGATCATGAACACAGGAAACAAAATCTTTGGTAAACACATACGACAATTCCTCCATAAAAATAAGGTGTAACTAGGACGTTTTACGTTTTAGTCGTACAAAACAGCATTGTAGTCGTGACAAACAACGGAAAAGAAAGACAAAAAACCGTGCTGCACGTGCGAATTTGTTTTTTGCTAATTAGAAAAAAAGTGTGCTGCACTAGCAAATTTGGTTTTTTTTGCTAATTAATCTATTGATCTTGATGCCATTTTTATTGCCGTCCGCTTTTAGCATTATACGATTTTTTTTTCTGTTTATAAGTATTATTAACCAGAGCTTCGCTTTTAGCCGTGGCTCTTATATCTTATATTTGCCTTTATAACAAACCCTTGTTCAGCGGACACCTCTATTAAGCGGACGGAGACACTAAATTAAATTATATTTTTCTAATTTCTATTGTTAAAAACCTCTATTAAGCGGACACCGGACTGAACTGACAATAGCAGCATTGAATCAGGGGCACCCAACGACTGTTTTTTTACTCCTTGTCTGTTTAGACAACTAAAGGGTCCTTCAAAGGCAATATTTTATTTAGTAATTCTTTATTTAGCTCATGGTGAAATTACATTTTTAACTTTACATAACTGAAATTTGTGCTTGGTAATAACTTTGTAACATAAGATCCGAAAACCCCTCGAGTAAAGCTCTATACTGGATGGGTTAACGAACATCCGACAGTGAAGAGAAATGGAAAATGGAAAGTCTCCCCCCAAAAATAATAAACTAAGGCTTTGATTGATTGATTGAATTTCAAAATGATCTGTATAAGCTGTAGTCTTTGGCAGTTTTGTGTAATGTCAACTGAGCGTAATTAATATTTGCGTTATGTTGATAATTTCGACAAAAGTCTGTGATTTCTCGCAGTCCGTTTTTAATAAATTATTTCTAATTCTTCTCATTTCTTTTTCTAACTTATTTCACGGATTTCTATGCGTGTCACGGCAATCTTAATTTGCTCAATCAGGCTCATTCTTGGTGGAAAAAAGTGAAAAGACTAGTTCAGGACTGTATGTGGATAGGGACGACATTCTACTTCAAAGACGACACTTAACCCATTCGTCCCTGAGCCGCCCGTGACCGCCCGTGCAGATCCGCGTCCCTTCTACCGCTTGTGACGTCTTCAGTTTTAATGGTCAAGGACAACTTTGACCGCTGACTTGTGTAGAGTGAAGAAATCTTTCAAACCATACCAGAATAAGGACAATTCAGTCACGCACAACGTGGAAAAGGTAAAAAACAATGTAACATTTACCAGAAAGTTTCCATGAAAATCTTGTTCCACTACCCACCTGCCTTTTTCATCTAATCCTAAGATCCTAAAAGCTTTCCTAAAAATTTTTCCACCAAAATAAAGCCTTCTAAATTCCCAGCAAAAGAAAAACAAAATGAGGCAAGAAAAGCGAAAAAAGAGGGAAGAAGAGAAATCGAAAAGTAAAAGTCAAGATAGTGAACTAAAAAAATCTCTCAAAATACCACTTTAACTCAACCTTTCTTTAGCATTGATCCATGCACATTTTAGCAATATACCGCTACAGATGAAGCAAACGCTAAATCCAGTGCATTTGTTATAAAGCAAACAGATTGTGGACAGATTGTGTACATGTTGGCCCCGTGTGGTCAAAACAGATTTATTACAAATCATGAACGTGACACAACTTAGTGGAGGTTCAATAAAATGAAATTTCCCATACCCTTGACCAATGACCACTACGTGCATTCTGGAATAACTGACAAAACAATCATTGGTGCTTGGTGCATAACCCCATTATATGCCAATATTAAAAGGCCGTGGAGGAAAACATTCTAATGAATGACAAATAATCGCGGATTTCTATTCAATACTATTCGATAAGACAAATAACCTCTATTCAATCTGAACTTTCTTCTTCCGCATCAGTTAACATCACGAAAATTCATGATGCCATTTCAGCTGACAAACACGCGATAAACTCAGTTCCATTTTTCCAGCCTTGGCAGGGGACCACAAAGTTGCTTTCCAAGGAATCATTCGGACAAGGTCAGTATGGGCTTATCTTAAACTCGCTCAGGCATTTGATCTGTTCCTCAGGTGACTTCGCTTACAGAGGGTCTCCGTAAAATTATTAAAAGACCCTACGATCTCGAAAACAAAGAACAAGAACTCGACCGCTCTCAGGCTGTGCTTTGACCAAATTACTATAATATAAAGAAACATCAGAAACACAGCTGAATGGGATTTGACGTAGGAGGAATACGAATTTCAAGTTATGAAGAGCAAACAACTCTAAGGCCCGGTTCAGACGCCGATCTTTTCATGAGCCGAACCCAATACATTGAATTAAGTACATGAAAAGTTCGGCACTGAATCAATCGACCTTGTCACGGTTTTTTCGACGCCATCTTCACGAGTAGGCAAACCCGACGTGAGAAAGTACAGTGTTTGTATGAGAATCTAATGTCGAATAATTTCCGTGAATGGCTGTTTTAAAAAATATGTGAACTGTAAACTAATGCTTCACTGTTAAGGATTCTACTTAAAAAATTTGAGGGCGTTACATGCGCTAGAAGACTTAGAACCCTTTTTTAAAATTTTCTATTACATTTGTCTGTAAAAATTTCCGGGGAAAAATTGCCGACAAATATATGGAAAATCTAAAGCAAGCTTCTGGAGAAATTTAAGCGCAGTAACGGCCCCCAAAATTTGTTGGTAAAATCCTTTGCTGTGTAGAATATGAGAGTTACACGTTTCAACCCCTTATGAGTTTCTGGTCAAACTTAATTGAACACAATCCATGATTGAGTTTTAACTGGCTTAGTTAATAAATCAAAATCAAACAAACTTTTAATCGAACAAAACTCACAGATTGACTTCTTCTATGTACGGCAAAGAAGTGTGATCAAACTCACAAATAAATGGCTCAATTGAACGCAATCAAAATTATTCCCAAACTCCAGACAGGTATAGTATGATCAGACGACACAACAGCCAATTTGTACCAGAGCAACCAGTGTCTCTGATAATGGTAATGGTCAACGGTTAAGATTGAAACCCACCATTGGCCAACCATGAGTGAGGTTTATGATACACCAATCTGTAGCAACAATGGTGGTACTAAAAAATTAATAGTCCTCAGGGCTTGAAAAAAATCTTGTTTGATAGTCTGGGTCAAGTAGATTTTCTTGCTGGGCTAGTAACTATTAAAGCTCACTTGCCCAATATGCAAGGGTTTAGAAAACATTTCTTGACTTCTAAAACAGGCCAGCCAGGTTTGTGGTGGTTTGTTTACTCGCTGCAGATACCAAATTGATGGTCATGTTATGACCTAGACGAAAGATGACACTTTGCTTAGCAATCCTTGTGGAAGTCATGCACGATGCGAATTCAACAAAATTATAAACTTGCTTTGTGAGGAACAAGCAAGTGTCCTTAAGAGCTGCTTGCCTACGTGTATATGTAAAGGATGGCTGGAATTCAAGTTTTTGTCTTGCCCTGATGCCACTGATTCAGTAAATGGCACCACCACGTGATGAAGACCTACAGTATGATTAAGGTTGAAGTGTTGCGATTACTAACTTTGTGTCTGTTGCTTGTGAGACAATCGATAGCACTGTGTAGGACAGTAAATGCTATATATTTTCTGTGACAATAAGTTATACAAGATTGCTGTTTTTGTTGGTTGAATAGTTCTACATAGGTGAATGAATTATTCAGTACTTAGTAATTATTGAACTGTTTTGAAATCTGGTGTTTGTTGTAGAAAAACCCTGGCCAAGGAACATCAGACGGAACGTTCAGGAACAAGAAATATTTCACATGTCCCCCAGACTCAGGAGTTTTTGTTGCCCTTGATAAACTTACACCTATTGAGGATTCAGACTCAAAACCACCAAAATCTCCAAAGAGAGATGAAAGTAGTCCAAGTAGTTTTGCTTCAAGAATGATTCCTTCTATATTTAAAGGCAAAAATGATAATGAGCGGAAGGTACATATACCTCGGAAAGGAGGTGATTATAAAGTTAAAATTGATGAACGAGTTGTAACATTTACTGGTGATGCTCCTGTCAGAGGAACTGTTCGTTATATTGGTGAGGACAAAGACTCACATGGACAAGTTCACACCCTTGTAGGGTTAGAGCTGGTGAGTTTAACAGTTACGTAGTTGTTACAATGTACATGTATGTGTGCAATAGACTCTTAATGCCAATTATACTTGCCCCTCAAAGTAAAAGAAGAAGTGACATATATATACTGGGTAACCTTATGGCAAAATAATGATCTATTTTTTCATGTCCACACTTTTTTATCTGAATTGATGAGATTTTATAAAAGTACCTAAATATGTATTTTCCACCTGCTAGCATTCCTTTAATATAATTATCCTCTTTGTTTTGTTGCTGCTTTGACCAATAACTATTTAATGTTATTTTTTATTTAACTCATAGGGCAAACTTGTCAATAAAATATGTTTAAGTAAAAAATAAAAATAAATAAATAAAATCCTCTGAGAAAATTGTAGTTTGGATGGTCAGTTGCTTGTTGAAGCATTTAACAAGAAATATAATAAATTGTGTAATAAATTATTTATTAACCTTAAGAACGTCATTTGGCATTTCAGTGTTTCAAACATCATTATCAAGAGTGAGAAAATAATGTCGTTTCACACTAAGCTTTTCTATTAAGAATCATCATACTTGTAATAATGAAACATGCACAAAGTATCTATTTTATTCAAACTTCAACTCTTAACAACTTTGAGACTTAACATTTCTCACTCTTGATAATTATCTTCATAAAAACAAAACATTATCAGCGTGCAAAGAAAGTAGTGTCCAATAGCCCAGGGCTAGTGGATTTTGCTATTGGGCTAGTGAAATCTGTTTTTAACTTGCCCGACGGGCAAGTGATGTTCTTTGAGGAATTCGAATAACAAAAGAAATGTGAAATCAATTCTGCTCGACAAAAAGCTTTTGGGGCTAGTTGAAATGACGTCTGGGCTAGTAAATGCTAGCTTCAGCTTGCCCGAATAGCTTTTTGCTTGTATCTTGTTAAACGTTTGATAGTTACGTTCAGATGTGTTGAAAAAATTACCACATCATCTTTTCAACAATTTCCTTGAAGTTTAAGTGCAAAATTTTTGTTCAGAAAGAGGTAATCCATAGTTTTAAAAATCACGTTTTGGTCACGAGACCAGCGATGAACTGACTCATTATTTTTAAGAAAATGGTGCGGGTTTGAAAAACTAAATCACTATTATTTTGTTTAAGAATTACAGCTGTATGACCCACTAATGGTTTTTTGAAGGCAAAATCATATAACTTTCATTTTCGTAAAAATGATGTCACATGACATCTTAGTGCAAATGGCGTATTACATGTATTTTTATGCTCTGATTCCATTAGGATGCTAGGTGTGGAAATGGAACTGGCAAATGGAAAGGAAAGCAACTCTTTGTATGTAAGAGAGATTATGCAACATTTGTTGATATTGAAACTATTATACCTGAAAAAGACTTCGATCCAGATCCTGCGAAGGATGTAACATCACCAGATAGAGGTGAAATGATGCCAAAGTCAATGGGTTATGATCCTGGTAGATATTCAGGTAGGATTTGTTATATACATTTCTCAATTAAAACAAATAATGCATGTACCCCCCTTTCTCCTGGAGAGTTTATTGTTTAGGACCCCCCATTCCTCTGGAAATTCCAGTCTAGGTAAAAACTTTCCTTTTAATATTTTGGCCTTCAAGAGGCTCTTACCCTTCTTACTAGTTCTCCTCCCCTTGTTGTGGACAACCAGTGCCATGTGTAACAGTATTTGGATTGAAAGTGCATTTTGAGCTTTTTGCTACTACTGCTTTTGTTCTTCTTTTGGAATTTATCATATGATGATATTAGTTATAAAAAAATTGCATAATTAATTTTTGTATTGGAAATGAAGTGAATCGTGGTCATGAAATAAGGTATCTTGTCTTAAACAGGGAAGGGAAATGAGGGGTCAAGATTTGAAGGCCTCAGTGGCACCTCTACCTTAACTGCCCCCCTCCCATCAGAGCACTCACTTTAAAGTTTAAAAAGGGTTAGAGAAAGCCTGCTGGCAGGGTATAGATTGAACTTGAAATTCAGTGACGCACTCACGTGTCTCTGACCCTTAAATATTTAGCAATTATTGAATGAGGCTGAGTATCGTCTGAAGAATTGTGGAGATCAAGATAACACCCTGCGAGATCTCCATAATTCTTCACATAATCAACAGCCGAATTCAATAATTGTTTTATCATTCATTTACAACAATTCCCCGTTAAAAAAAGCTAAACAATGCTTGCCTTCGTGGATGTTAAGTTCATCTCGATAGTGCATGTTAATCGGCAAGTTTAGGAGATAAAGGGTTGTTCAGCTCCGCAAATATTCTCCAAGTAGCAGATGTCATCCTTCAAGTTATCTTCTTGCTGTTCTTGCTATGTTTTTAGCCAATAGTTTGCCTATTCTTCCTGGTGAAACGAGTGGAAAAAACAATATAGCTGCTTATGATGATTGTGGGATTTTAGCCAATCAGAAACGCAGAAATATTTTGAATGAATACTTTAATATTATTTGATGTTATCAGTATTAATTTTGTTATCCCTGGAATGTTTTGAAAGATAACCTTAAAGTTTCTTCTGACAAGGTTTATTTAATGTATAGCTGTATGCATCATGTCCTTGGATACTTTGTAGGTCACGAATCTGTGAAAAAAGTGAAAAGAACAACTTCATTTGACTCAGCTGATCACAATCTTATCGTGGCCGCTGGTGAAAGTAGCCAGACTGATTGTGCAGCGTTCATAGAGCAACAAAAACACTTGCTACATGAGTACAAGAGTACAAACGTTTCTCTGCCTACAAAGAGGGATGTTAGGATGAGCAATGATGAAAGGACCCACAGTGCTGGTAACATGAACTTCAGTGAGAATCACTTCAAAAACACCCCTCCAAACAGTGATCTTAAAACCCCTCCACCAATCACTAAGCAACCTGGTTTAAGTGTATCTAATGTTCGTGGAAGATCATATCATGGGTTTGTTAACATAGAGAAGGAAGACTATGACGAACTGATGCAGCCTCATGAAAAAGGTAGGTTTGATACATTTTCGAGGTTTCATTCCAATCAGGATTTTTTTGGTTGGAAAATTTGGCAAAGTATTATTTTGGAGTTCCTGGATTTAAGCAGAGATTTTGAGGGGAATTTAAAACAATCTGAAGAAAACCAAACAGAAATGAGAAATAAGGAGAAGAATAGATACTGCAGTACAGGCCATAGGAACTGCAGCATTTACACGCCTGTAAAATGCATGCAATATGGTGGACTTACAAACAAAATACACGCAAAAAACACGCATATAAAACTTTACACAAACAATTATATGCAGCTTAAATCCGACTCAAGATGCATGTACAGTCAAGTCTCACCTTGTGGACACACCGTTATAACAGACAACCCAATTATAAGGACAGCAGCTAAATCCCACGTAAAATTATATTATTTTTTTGAGTGGAATAAACTCTCACTATTTCGGACTCTCTCTAATGAGGACACTAACTCAAGGTCCCTACAGTGTTCTCTATAAAGGGAGTTGACTGAATTTATTGCATGGAAATTCCCTCTTTTAATTTTACAGGCAATCTGGTCTATTTTTTTAACGGCAGATCTAAAAGAAATCGTAAGATGCTGATTGATCACAGTCTCTTCACATTTGAATTTCAGTTAGAACTAACACGTCTTTATTTAAAATGGAAATTATTTGAGTCATGTTTTTCGCATTCAAAATGGCATTATAGATGCTTGAAAGAATCTTTTTGCAATTTAGATCTGAAAAGTTGCAGTCTACTTCATACTCTGTAGTCAGCAGTGTACTGTGTGTTTACAGTTTGTCATGCTGTCCCATGCTGTACAATTTTCCATTAGAGCATACCTGTAGCAAGAATGTTAATTGCCTAATCAAATAAAATAGCTCAAGCATACATCATATTCCCATTGAGCATGCTGATAATACCAACAGACTTAAACCTCAAGTTCTTGTGCGCTCAGCAATCCTCACAAGTGCATCCATAACTCAAAGGAAACGTATGTTGAGATATGGAGCACTTGGGAAGTTTCAAGAGCACTCAAGAGGCTAGAGTTGCTTGAGGTGCACTGTTACACCTCTTTGTGCTCTCCAAACTTCCCGCATGCTTCTTATCTGCGACACACGCGTGCTGACTCATGAACCAGTTAACAGTACTTTAATGACTACATTTAGTCATCCTGCCCTTATTTCAAGCCCTTTAAAAGAAAACTTATTAGGCAGATCATGTTTTCCGCAGTTTGTAGATGGCAAGCGGCAGGGGTGCTCATACAATATAATGTATCTCATAGGATAATAATTTAAAAATTCTTTCTCATTTTTTCTGTAAATGTGAAAGCACTCGTAAACCTTTCTGTAGTTAACAGCGAGCAATAAACAACAAGCTAAATGAATTGTAGTGAAAAATAATAGTCACATTGTCATCACTGCCATTGGCTTCACTAATCATGACTTTTAAACCCTCTCTGATATTACAGTGGGAGGAGGCTGGCTCAAAACTGGGCTGGACCACGAACCAGGGTCTTTAAAAGACTTTTAAAATCATTGTTGTTGTGATTTAAGATCTTGAGTCAGTTAAGATGATCATGTCATGGGGTGCATGTGGTGACATTAAGCCATTGGCTTTGTCTCCTAATCCTTCTATCATTGGTCAAATCTAAGGGGAAGTTTTTGACTGCAAAACAGTCCGTATTTTTGCGTATTCAAGTACGCGCGAGCAGTCAAACAAAAGGTCTGGAACACGGGCGTGTGAGGCTCGCGCGCTTCGCGCCCGTAAGACTCTTACGCCACGCGTTACCAATTTCTTTACTGATTTTAAGAAAAAAAACCGACTATTTTCAGTGTCGAGGGAAGTTGAAAAGAACCCAAAGAGTAGGAGAAATTTCCCCGATGCTGTGGTCTACTTGTACCTCATTGCGCGCATCATTCATATCATGGGCTCGTGGGTTACAGTAAGGCTAAGCTCCTAAATGGACTGATAGCAACTGCTAGTGACACCCTTGTATGATGACGTTTGAGCTTGCTGTTAATACCTAAAGGAGACACGTGTGTTGTCTTCTGATCTCATCCATGACATTCCATTCATTCTTTCTGTAGACCAGTCTTCAAGAGGGTTTTAATTAACCTCCAGTAATTTTGATGGCAGCATCATCAGGAGAGAGCTTAAGTTGACGATAAAACATGTTCGCAAGGGTGTCAGCGATCATTTGGGGACAACAAGCGCATTATTTTCATTCTTACAATGTATGCTAAAGCCTAACCTATGTTTGTAATTTCTTTTGTATCAAGACCCAGTGTCACCAATGGCAACTGATGATGAGGTTGTGTCAGATAATTACAGCCCTGTAGAAACTAACAATATGGAAGACAGTGCTTTGTCAAAAGAACCTGCTGAGCCTCAAACTTCTGTTGTGCATGTAGATGAACAGGCTTCAGATAAAATGACAGGTAACTTAATTACATTTCTCTGTACTTATGCTCCAGTAATGTATTTTAATTAATGTGAAATTTCTATCAATAACATTGCTGTGGTTTTTTTTTTTGCAAGAATGACCTTGTCTGGCTAGGAAGGGGTCAGCAAGATACATGTATTTTGAGAGTTAGGTGAGGGAGTAAAGAAGAAATGGAGAAAAAAGTGATGATCAGAAATCGTTGAAGAATGAAAATGTGTAATGTGCTTCTCCAGAAAATATCTTCATGCACAGTCATGCATATGTATACCACCCCCTTGGAGGGTTTTGGGTTCCCCCCCTTCTGGAAATTCTGGTTTAGGTTCATGCTTTCCATAAAAAATGATTGCCATTTAGACCCTCCTGCCCCTCAGATTTCCTTTAACATTCCATTGTTATTATTATACAGTCAATTCCCTTTCAGACAGACACCATTTGGACCATTAGTGTTTGTCAATGAAAGATGTCCATCTGAAACGTTCATTTAGTGTCTAATCTAGCTGTCCGTTTTACCAACTTGTCCACCCTATAGAAGTGTCTGTTAAGAGAGTGTCAACTGTAGACATTTTTTCTGGAAGCACACAATGTAGTATTGTATTTTTCAAGTAGTGGACTTTTTAATTTGTCAGATCTTGAGGCACAAGCAATAACTGAAATTCCTCATGGCTTTGAAGTTGGCTCGATGGTTGAGGTACCTATGGCTCAAGGACTTCCACGATATGGCGTGATTAAATGGATTGGAACTCTTCCAACACTGAAGGATAAACTAGTCGCTGGACTAGAGTTGGTAAAAGATACAATCTTATGTTTAGTCCTCTAAACACGGCAGGTCTAATCCGCAGGTCACAGGTCACTTGACGAAAACTGCTCTAAACCATGTTATTTTCCACTCAAAATATTATTTTGCATTTCTGAATGGTCTTAATCGCTTGGCTACATGTGGTACAAAATTATTAGAAATATAGTGTGTAAACACAGACCGACGTAAAATATGGAAGACTTGCATCAGCTAATAATAGAACATAGGCTAACGTGCATAAGCTATTTTGAACGCTTCAGTGTAACCAAACCTTTAGTATGACCGTACCAAGAATTTTAACCTTTCACCCTAAATTTAGACTGTGTTTTTTTGTGTGTGCGGTATTGCTGCACATGGATATGATGAAGGGAATAAAATAGCGGGTGAAAACGCTTCACATTGTACACAACTGAGTTGATGGTTATGTTATACATTCACTTTTCTTTGTGTTTCCTTCATTTTATCTGGTGCAAATTAAAAAAATGTCAAAGTAAAAGGGATGTCAACTCCCCAAATGTTGCTTCGAAGGAAGACATGAAAGTTTCTTCGGAGTTTCCCAAGATACTGTGGTTCATTGAATACTGAATAGTCAAGAAATATCGCTGTCATTAGGGTAGATGATTGCATCGTCATAATTCACGAGGGTTTTCGCATGCCATCTATTCTCCTTAGTGCAACAGGCTTTTAAATTCTTAAGACTTGATTGTTCAAGTTTTAGAATCAGTATTTAAAATCAATTATTAACATTTTGATGTGTAAACCTTCGTAATACATTGTATACTTGTATATGATTTTTTATACTCCACTTTCATCCAGGTGAAACATTGTGTCGTAAACTCCATAAAATGTCTTGGAGGAGCACTTGTCTTAAAATATAAACCTAAACAGCTGGATCACTGTACTCAGTGTTTGAGTAAAAAAGATAATTAAATGTTATTCTTCTAAACACCTTAGGCCATAATAAACAACGAAAAAATTGTGATGAATCGAGGTGGCAGTTTCAAAGTGGCCTGTTTGACGTTTAGCGATATCATGTTTATATGCCAAAGTCTCATGGGTTCCTAGTATAAACTCATAGTATCTCCAACCTTATTGGTCCATCACCCTGCAACACACATACAAACAGACAAAGAATACATGATACAAACAGAGAAACATACATGCGCTCGGACCACCGACATATGAGCTACCGTAAAATTCTGAAAATAAGCCCGGGGCTTATATTTTTCAAAGGCCCTTTTTGAGGGGCTTATATTCAGAGGGGCTTATGTGTGGAGGGGAATTTGCGTTCAAAAATCGATTATGCTAGCTTATAGTTGGAAGGAAATTTACCATTTTTTCTCTGTCTTACTTTGAATTTGAGAGCACTGTTTTCAAGTACAAGCCCTCGGGGGGGCTTATATTCGGAGGGGCCATTTAACAGAGGGTTTTGTTGCTTTACCGGTTTGGCGGGCTTATGTTTGGAGGGGCTTATTTTCGGAATTTTACGGTATTTTTTCAAATAGCTCAAAAAGTATTCAAGTGAGTAGATTGAAATATCCAATTTGCAAAAAATTGTTGCTCTGAGTTTTGGAATTTGTTTGCTAAATAGAAAATAAATGGGTTAATGTTATGGATGGCATCACATGCAGACAGTGGTGCAGTTTCTGAGTTGTTTTGGCATTGCAGAGCTTTAGAAAATGGCAGAAGGTTTCAACTGCTTCGCAGATAATAGTGAACTTACGCAACAGAACGGGAAGGGGAAAGAAGACGGCAAACGTTGTGTGACAAAAGTGACAATAATTTTCTTTGAAATAACTTTACGCCAAACTTCCCTTTCCTTTAAACAGACGTTTTTGCAAAGACCAGAAAACATTAATGTTAAGCGGGGATCGTGACATAAGAGCAAGTAATAGCCCTGTCACGTTTGTCACACACAAGTGTTTTGCCGTCCTCTTCTTTCTGCCGCTCTGTTGCGTAAACTCACTAATAACAGGCCAATGACTTACTCAAAGAGATAGCAGGAATGGACCAATGCATGTACACACACACAAACTAAAGTAAAAATCCAAACAAGAGTAAAACACTTAATGAATGTTGACAGTCAACACTGTCATAAGCAACACTCTTTGGTACACGTTGCTTGCCTGGTTGATTGGCTGTGTACGGAAACAATTAGAAAAAAAAACTCAATTAATAAAGGTAATAGGACTGAGTGGAGTCCAATTCGGTCTGTAATGATACGAGTGATTAACGAAATATAGTGTAGCGGGAGTCCGATTTACATAATGATGTAATCACGAGTATGATTACAGACCGAATTAGATGGCACAAATTTCTGTTACCATAACAAACTTTGTGATAGTTAAGATTTTTTAAATTTAAACCACATGATATAAAAGTAAAAATATAATAAAGTATGACAACCCTTTTCTCATCTTTTCCCAAATATGTAGTTATGATACACCGCATCTAGATGTCAGTCATCTTCCACGTAAATTATGAAAACTTGGACCATACTTATTGACCTATCAAGGTCCGAAAATATGGAGCAGTATAGATAACAAAACACGTAAAATTAAATATTTACATTTTATTTAAGAAATGCATAAAAATAAATATAATTGAAAAAAAAAAAAAACAGCAGTAGCAGATCGTCCCTCTAATTAAAATACTGTTTAATTTTATGGCTTCGCTGATCATTTTCATGAGAATTAGAATAGTAATTACAGTAGATGAGAAACTATAAAATTGTGATTAATTCTATTTCTAATCATTAAGTTTGTTAAAATGATGATAAACTAGCTAAGTTGCAGCTGATGTCAGTTTTAAAGGCATCTATCATTTCAAGCACTATTCTGCTTTTCTATAGACTCCCTCGTCACAATTAAAATGTGATAACGAGTCTACAATAACGTAATCAATGTATCAGTGGTGGAAGCAATTAAATGAAAAATGAAAACCCATTCAAGTGCGCTAGCGATGGCGCGTTATGTCTAATTACTTAAGCATGACGCGTACTGTTCCAATCAGACAATTGATAGCCAATCAGAGTTGAGAATTTTGTTTTAGCTATGATTAACATAAAAGTGTAATTAAAGATTATTAGCGTACAGGCCAACAAATGGCAAATAAACATCTGGCATATTTCACATCTTATAGCACTTGGAAAATCTTATCGTATAGTACAGTCTGTATGTAATGGCATCCCTTGCACTTATTTTGGGGTAATTGTTTCTAGTCTGTGTAATGAAATCATTAATTTTACTTAGATGCTGTAAAACTTTGCGCATAACATTTTGCATCAGACTGCTGTAACAATCCGCTTTTTACCTACTGTTGATCTTATTACGTTCATCATTTTTGTAAGTCAACTGTTATTACCTGCCAGCCTGCCGCGTTGAGCTATTGTGACATGTACAATAAGGTATAAGATAATTGTGATGAATACAATAGGAGCAGATATTGATCTCAGGCGGTCAAAAGTACAAGACCCTTTCCCAGATACTTGTTTTGAACATAGCAATGTTTTATGCCAGCTGTTCACACTTGTTACTGAGATGCAGTTGGAGAAAGTAGTTTAACTACTAAGTTTTTTTGTAAGTTATGTGACCTTAACCGTATTAAAGGAGTGTTTTAAGATAATGTTGTTGTTATTAAACTTGTTAATGTTATGTTACTTGTGTTACAGGAGGATGAACAATCTGCATGTTCAGATGGAACGTTTGGTGGAGAAAGATACTTTTCATGTCCTTCAGGACGAGGTTTCTTTACCCTACTGGCCCACTGTAGACAAGACTCACGCTTCACTCCTAATTCGCCAATCAGTGACCCTGATTACCAGTCCAGCAAAGGTACATCCGATGTGTCTAAAACTGTATCTATGTAATAGGCAACTTTCGGTATATTAAAATTCAGCATGACAACGAGTCTTAGAGGACACAAACAAAGAAAATGAATAAACCATGATTATTCATGTTTATTCATTTTCTTTGTTTGTGTCCTCTAAGACTCGCTATCATACTGAATTTTAATAATCGAAACTAGCTTATTGAACTTCAAGTCTTTTTGTCTTTAGGGACTATGTTACAGTACGTACAGTGCAATCTTTGGTACAGTGTTAGTTAGCCTTGTGCTAATATCTCATTTTTATTGAATTATTTAAAGGTATTAAACTTAAGAGATAACAAAAAGCCCAATTTTTAGAGGAACCTACACCGACACCCAACGTAAGGATGCCACACTTGGATGTAGCATAAAGTGTCCTCCTGCATATTTGTACCTTAAACTGCATCTCTTCCCATTTCATGTTTGTAAATGACTCTTAAATTTTCTGCAATAGTCTTGCATTGCCCTAGGCTTTGCCCTGAGAAAAATTGCAGGGAGCCCTGTTCTCTGAACCTGTGAAGTCCAGGGTGCACAGTTTGTAATTTCATCGCAAAAACTGAGTTTTTCTAGTTGCCCGGGGACAAACGTTAGTTGCTAGGGGCTACTGGGCCCTGCTAGAGCACAGCCTTTATTGCGGCAGAAAGACCAAATACTGAGAACCCAAACTGCTGCAAGAGTACTTGAGACACTGTACCGTATTTTGATGTAAATGGCCTGTCAATGATCATGTGCTTGTGGCCCCCCCTCCACCCCTTATCAAAGTTGCTAGCAATACAAGGCCATGCTCAAAACGTGGAGGAACAACTTTGAATGGAAAGCAGGAGGGAGGTTAGTATTTTATCTTACAGACCTGTGTCTAGCAGCGATTTGAAGCAAGAAAGGTCGTTTTTCCGTCGTAATGTCTAAATATTAATTTTTTTGCAACTGGTTGAAGCTTTCTGTCCCAAAACCTAGAAGTATTATTCTGAGCTGCTCAGCCAGTGAATTTTGCACCTTTTAGTAAAGTTATAAAACAAACCAGATCTTACGGAAGACTACACTGTACTGTATAATGCACTGTTAAAATAGTGTTGCTGTTACATTTTTCATGTGATTTCAGCCTTTGGAAGTTTGCCATCCCCAGAGGTCAAGGGGGTTACCACTCCGCAATCGTCACTATTGGACGATCACTGTGGCAGCATGAAAGGTCTTCAGGGTCACCATAACTCATGTTATCTTGATGCCACACTCTATGCCATGTTCGCCTTTTCCGTTGTGTTTGATACTTTGCTACACAAAGAAAAAAAACAGGATGATCTGCCAGAATATGAAGATGTTCAACATGTTTTAAGAGAAGCCATTGTCAATCCTTTGAGAACGTAAGTAGATAAAAATAGGTAAAGCACTTGTAGTGTTAACTATTCTCAGCCCCTCTACTTTCTCAATGCCAAGCGTAAGGGATGCATATTATTTTTCAAGAATTGCCAAGAGATATGTGACAATTCTTGAGATGCATACTAGCTTAACATGGTCTTGTCAATCTGCGCTTGATTCTCTAAATTAGAGATACGTGTACAAAAAGTGCATGTTGTAATGGAAATTATTATAATTATTTTCCTAAACCTTGTGAATTAAAAACTACTGTATGAACTTGACTGCGATCAAAACATATTAAAGATAACATAAAAGAGAATACAACGAATGCAAAAATTACATTATACTTAGGAATAGCAGAAGACTAGCCGCACACCAAACCCCCCCCCCCCCGCCCCTCCCCCACCCGCTACCCCCACAACCGCCAAACCATAAAGCCCAGACGGTACAACAACCAACCCACCACCCAGACGGCCCGCAGCCTGGCACGCCAGGCCTTAACTCCCGCTAACAAATTCCATTGTAGACACTACTTGCTATAAAAACAAATTAACAAAAAAACAAAAGAGAAAACAACGGAAGCAAAAATTACTTTATACTTCGGAATAGCAGAAGACACCCCCCCCACCCCCCCCCCCCCCCCCCACCCCACCCCTCAAATGAAAGCACAAGCTAGTCACAACTGAGATCGGGAGAGGGGTGACCACCTCTACCATCACCGTAAACTGCTGCTTATGGGCCCCTGGCTTTTAAATCTTCGTAAGAGGTTTTAGCAGGGCTTATAAACGGAGGGGCTTATGACCGGAATAGAAACCGCGCTTGGAAAACAAGCTATAGCAGTGCTATAGTTCCTAATTATATACGTTCCTAGTTGCTTTTACTGGATTTTAATTAAGCGTAAAGGCATCATAATAGGTCTAATTCTTCTCAGTGCATTTGGAGGGGGGCTTATATCCGAGTGGGCTTATAATTGGATGTCTTTTTTGTATACAGATAGCGGCAGTTAACGTTATTTACGTCGATGTAATGGTCCTGTTATAAATCTAATTAGTCGTTGCTCGTATTTATCTATAATTATCTTTAACTGGTCCCGAAATCAGTTTGTTGATTTCCTTTTCTTTTAGTTTCGGCTTTGTTAGGGCCGATCGCATTCTCAAGTTAAGAGAGTTATTAGATAAACTCAGTTCAACAGCAGGACTCGTCAATGAAGAGAAAGGTAATGGCTAATGTTAGTAAAATAATGTATGAAACTTGATGGGATCCACGGTTGGAAGGTTCCTTGTAGGCGGCAAGAGGCAAGATACCCACTTTGTAACCCCGTTTTGTTTAAAAGAAGTACGTTATTTTGAAAAAATAAGCCCTTGTTGAATGTGAATCAGGATGACATTAGAGAGATTGAGTCATGTTTACGACAAACGGCAAACGTGAATTTGTATCACGTGACCAAGTTTTCCCTAAACTTGTGCTTTATTGTTCATCGCTTCTATCCCAAAATTAGTAGGAGCCTCAGGTTAGTCTTGTCTTTAACAGTCGTTTTGGACTGTTTTTAGCAGCACGTTTTCTGTTTGGAGAAATTCTCAACTTGAATCTGACGTTTACCGTGAACGTCACTCTAAATCTCTCTAATTATAGCTTTTCAATAGGCCTTTTTGCAATAGTTGGTCACGAGATCAACTTTTTGTAAACACGAAAATAGTTTGCTTTTAGAAAATTTTGTTAGCAGGAACTGAAATAGTATATTAAAAGTAGGTAATCTGTAAATGTTGAGTCGTATATCTGAAAAGAAGCGATTGCAACGGCTGCCGAGAATTAGCAGGATTTGTAAGAAAAATAACTCTTGCCACCCAGTCACGCTTGAGTGGTTTTCCATACACATCCGTGTAATTTTTGAAATTTTTAAACCTTTCCCTAACGCATGTACGGGCTCAAATTGCCTGTCATGAATAAAAAGGAGATTTGAGCCAAGTAACGATTAAGGAAATAGTTCACGACGGTTTGAAAATTTCGAAATTTACAAGGATTTGTTTGGAAAACCATTCGAGCGTGACTGAGTGGCAAAAGTTGTTTTTTCTCATACAAATCCTTCTAATTTTCGGCGGCTGTTGCAATCGCTACTTTTGGGGTATAAGGCTGAAAATTTACAGGTTACCTAATTTTAATATGCTCTTTTAGCTCGTGCTAACAAAATTTGCAAAAGCGAACTGTTTTCGTGTTTACAGAAAGTTGATCGTGTGATCAACTAATGCAGAAGGCCGTTTTTCGCGCTAAACTTAAGATAGAGCTCTTACATCATATCACCATAATTTATTCCAATGTGGTAGAAAGGTTGGAAAAATAAGTTAAGTACCAAGGAAGCTTTAGAATGAACGGTGCTCACACATACAACACTCTACCGGGAGACATCACTAAGACAGATCGAGACGCTCAGTGAATTTTAAGATTAACCTCAAATGCCATCATAGACAATAATGCCTACACTGATAACTTAATTGTCTAGTCTCTTTACGTTTTTAATGTCTGTTTTTGTTTTTGCCAGGGCTCCATGTAAACTAGCATTGCTAAACTGGATGCTCCTGGTTAAATATTGATTTAAATAAATTTTAAAAATTAGCTTTTTAGCTTTATAACACAACAAAGTTAAAAGTAAACCGTGTGTTCTGATTGGTTAATTACGCATTTTTTTTTTGCCCATGGGTGAATACACTCTTCTCACATATGGTAATATGCCCGTCTAACCTCGTTTACGGGTAAAAATCCTTTTGAAATTCAAATACGAAAACGTCGTCTGATTAGCATTTCAAAGGACTTTTACTCAAAAACGAGGTTAGACGGGCATATTACCATACGTGAGAAGAGCGTATTCTGACGAAAGCTAACGCCCTCTCAAAGCTGTACGTGTCAATTTCTACGCGATTGTGTTTTCTTTTTACCTCAAAGCTTTGGGAGCTAGTATACGTAGAACAGCTAATCATTGTTGATCATTGTTAGCAAATTATCCATACATGTAATGTAATTGTATTATATTGATAGTAATAATGAATTTTTTGTAACGTTTCATCGTTATTCTGGTATTGCTAGATCCTGAGGAGTTCTTGAATTCTCTTCTCAAGCAAGTCTTGAAAGCAGATCCATTCTTGCACTTGAAGTAAGTGTTTCTGGCGTTTGCTATTCTGTATTTGAACTTCCTTTTCAGCTTATTCATCGACAGCTGTATACTATCGCGTTCTCTTGTAATAACGTTCAGATCTTAAAAGGTCTGAATTGCTTTAGGCGATATTTACACTATGCCGGATAGCTCAACACGAAAGCCGTACCTTATAGGGCTACTGTTCACAAATATAAACATTGTGATTTCGGCGCAATTTTTGTAACGGAGCGACGCTGCGCCGTGCCGATCTTGAAATTGGATTCGCATATATTGCGTAAGTAAATAAGTTGAAAAGAGGACTGGGACCCACTGAGAGGGAAGTAAACGCTGATTCAGAAGTAAAGAATGAGAATTAGTACCAAATCCTGTCGGCCAAACGCTCCGGTTCCAATCTTTGATGTGTATGAGTGCCTTGTTCCAGTTAAGTGCCTTTTCCTTTCATACCTTTATGTGCGCTCGAACATCTAACCGGTATAGGGAGTGTAGACGTGATAAAATTGGCCTCTTCCTCTTCAGTATAGAACAACAACCAGCAGTTGTCCTCCTTATTCTGACCAGGTTACCAGGCCATTTGACCAGCATGTTATACTCTAGCCTGCGAATACAGCCGTCCCTCCTCGCCTCTGGGGACGTTTCGCTGGAAAGAGAAACGGCCCTAGAGTTGATGAGCGAGCGAGCATAGTCATGCATGAAGACCATTGATTTCGCAGTAGTTATGGTGTTACCGCGTCTTAGGCTCAGAAATGATTATTAATCTGATGTGGGACTTTTTCTCGAAGATCCAGAGATGAACGTAAAAAAGATAGCGAAGGAGCGTTCTTCTACCAGATTATAACAGAAAAGAATGAAGCGGTAAAAATACCCATGGTTCAAGAACTGTTGGAGCAGTCCTTTCTTTCAGCTGATATCATCCTCTCTGAAGTAAGTAGTGTACAATTGTAGCATAGAAACTCGAAAATTAATCATATTTTTGTAAAATGTTAAAAGGAATAGTCCACGTTCGATATACATTTTTTGTAGTAGAGGGCTTTGAATTTGAGGACGAGAACGAGATTTAACTTAAAGTTTTTGCTCGTGCTTTCCAAAAAAAAAAGACATCCTGGAAAGCTTCATTTTATCTTTTTTCACCAAACAAGTTAGTACGGTTATTTATACTGAAGGATGTTAAGCCCTCTCCCGATAGCAAAATGATAAAACTTCTTGCATTTTGAGCAATACTCAGTATTGAGAAAATCTCGTACTCGTAATCTTCCTCGTCTCAGAATCTAAAGCTCTCTATTAAAATTCTAACATGACTCCGAGGCTTCAGGGTCAAAATTGCAAATTTTTCAAGACTTCTTTGTCTTGCAATTCCCAAGAGACTTAAGCACAAAGAAAACCAAACCAAATATAGAAAAATGACCAGAAAGCCTCGGAGTCATGCTAGAATTGTAAAATTTTAATATATCGAACGTTGTCTATTTTTGCGCCGTGAGTGGCTAGAGTAACTTCGTTATAATTCCATCAGGAACGCACACTGAGGTTGTCTTTACACTATACTGCATAGCTTTTGCGCTGGCGCCAAAACTATACCGGATTTGGCTTCTGTTCGCACGTAAAAATGCTGATTTCGGTGCGATTTCTGTAACGTAACGAAGCTGTGCCGTACTTATTTCGAAAGTGGAGAGTCACATATTAGATAAGTGTTCATCCTATCCCAGATGGCGTTTCGTGTCGGCACGGAAAGCCATCTGGTAAGTCACGCGCGTTACATTTTCGGCACAGGACAACCAGTGTCTTGGAGAGTGCGTACATGTAAGTCATTAAGAATGTTACAAAAGAAGTGAAGATTGTACTCAAAACTATCGTCGTGCGGGTAGTGCTTCTTTAGCACTAAGCTGTTGTTTTTGAATCCGTGTTCTGTTTCTGTGGGGGTTTTTCGTTTGTGTTCATTTTCCTTTCTTAGTCGTTTTTTCATGTGTTTAGTAGCCTGTGTCGCAGGCATCAACGGGGGTGGAGGATTAGGAGAAAAAGGACCTTGTTTTGCGCCTACCCAAATGGGAAACATTACCCTGTTTTAAAATACTTCTGTCTTTTCCTTTTTAAACACTTTCGAGGTAGTTTTTGAAACCATTATTTCCCGTGGTAAATAAGTCTTGCGCTGAAGTGATCGCAAAACCTTGTAGATATTTACTCAGCTGTAATGTTTCCTTCTAGCTTACGTAGCTAGCAGGATTGGCGGACGAGTGCTGGCATTGTTTTAGTGGCGGAGTCGCGAGCCGCTCTCACCCAGGCTCGCCGGCTCGAAAGGCATTACAGGAGAGACTTTAACGGCTAGTTCCAATTCAACTGACTGAAGTTCTTTGTTTGCACAGGTTCCTTCGTGTTTAATTCTTCAGATGCCACGATTCGGAAGCAAATATAAGATGTATGACATGATCCTACCAGACTTAGAACTTGATGTCACTCACATTGTGGAAAACGGTAAATATTTTTCAAAGTTGGCGTTACTATTGGTACTCTAGTCCTTTTTGTCGTTTTTCCATTCATTCTCGGCATCCCTCTTCATTTAAACTCCGTGACCCTCACGGTCACTCAACGCCACGCTCTTGGGAGTGTTAAAAGCCATTCGTTTCTTGTCTAAGAAGGGGAGCGAAAGAGGTGGGGGGAGAGGAAAATACCATAATATCTTTTCATTAGCTTTACTGCTTCAAATCGCACCAGTTGAGCTACGTTGTCTGCTGTCATTGTTTTTTTTTTATGCATGTGCGTATTAGTGTCCCTGAATTATCTCTCAGCGAGAGGGTCAGTAACTAAACTGCTCCCCTTCTCCCCTCCCCTCCCCCTCTGCTTACCTCTTTCTTTTTTCTTTTTTAAAGCCCCAACAACTTACTTTACCCATGTTTCGTTGTAGTTGCACGTGAGTGTACCGTGTGTGGAAGTGAACCAGCACAGTTTGAGTGCAAAATGTGTTATCAAAAGGGCGTGGTAGCTGACAGGGCCGGGATGCCCAGTTACTGTGGAGGCTGTAACAGCAAGATACATTTACATAGAGATAGACAAAATCATAAGACAAGGCCTGTAATACTACCACGACAGTTCAAAAATGAGAGATGGATGCTTGATAAGCAGAAGATGGAACTGTTCGCTGTCGTTTGTATAGAGACAAGTCATTATGTTGCCTTTGTCAAGTGCGGAGATGGTGTCGATAAATCTTGGTGCTTCTTTGACAGCATGGCGGACAGGAAAGGTAACTTGTTTGGGTCGGTAATGTAAAGGTCGATTTGATGGTCGGATGCGGCTGATGCATTATCCATCTGGCGTCGGTTGTTTAAACCTACAAATCATTATCCAGAGGATAAGTATTAAGAAAAACAATGGCGCTGTCTAGTGGATAACGTTGTCCACCTTTTGAACAACTGGTTGATGTTGATTGAATCTTTTAAGTACTATTTTTCACATATCGCCTGTTTGTTTGAAATTCATGTTGCGTATTCAGGCCTACACTTGAATAACAAAGTATCCCGCTCTCAAATGCTTTTGACGATTCACCTGAAAGATCTAAGAACTCCGCAATTTTTGTTTTGTCGTGTTACTTTACCTCTCTTTAACGAGTCTAGCGATACCTAAATTATGCGTTATATTGACTAAGCGTGAATTCTAGATTGCTGGATAATAACCTACTTTTTTGCGTTTTTATTGACCAAGACGAAGTCGTTTGTATTCAGTTAAAGAAAATGAGGGCAACAAACAGCCATCGTGACAAAAGAAGATTGGTCAATAAAGGATTTATTATACTCTGGCCAAAAAGGGAAATTCCGAACGGGAAAGATCGGGTCATCTTGATTGCTCGAGTAGCAAATCGGAACGCAGGATTTGCTTCATCTTTCCCGCTCGCAGTCTCTGCCATTCACCATTTTCACTGTGACCGTAATGCACCATGTTTAACCCCCCCCCCCCCCCCCACAAATTTTTGTTTTCCCCTTTTTTTTTTTTTTTTTTTGGGCGTCTTAGACATCCACGAAGAAATAAGAAAAATAGATTTATATAAATATAAAAAAAAAAACAAAGGCAGAAAAATTTGATTGTAAAACGCCAACTTGGAAAAAGAAAAATGGTCGAGAAAGGGTTTTATATAACCTTGGCAAAAAAGGAAAGTCCGGAAGGGGAAGAACGGGTACTTTTGCATTCCTCGGGGAGAAATGGGAAACGCGGATTTTGTTTCTTTTTCCCCGCCGCGCGTCCTTCCAATCCCCCTTTTCCCCGTGGACCGAAAGCCCCCTTTTTAACCCCCCCCCCCCCCCGATAATAGTTTGCATTACCCGTTTTCTTTGATTTCTCTTGGGACGACTATAATACCCAGGAGAAATTAGAAGCAATGGTTTTGCAAAATTTGAGAAAAAAACAAGGTGCATTATATAGTCTCGGTGAAAATGGTGAATATGAAAATCATTTTATTCTAGGTGTTAGCTTGCAAGAGGTTCGACTGCATTAAGTCGATTACTTTTCAGTAACAATGACTATTTCACGTATTCTATTGGTTTAGGAGAAAGGAATGGCTACAATATTCCGGCTGTGACTCGCTGCCCTGAAGCATTAGAGTGGCTCTCTAAGGATCCCAAGGAAGTTATTGCGGCAAAAGAGCGAGGAGAAATCCCTGAAAAGGTGCGACGTCTCCTTGGAGATGCATATCTGTGCATGTACCAGAACCTTGAGATGACAATGTATAAATAGTCTCAATGGAAATCCTGTGATTATAGCATGACAGTCACGTGGAATTTACCCAGTGAGAAGAGAAATCCCTGAAAAGGTGCGACGTCAATCCTTGTGCATGTACCAGAACCCTGAGATGACAATGTATAAAAATTAATAGTCTCGACGGAATTCACGTGATTATAGCATGACAGTCACGTGGAGATGTACCCAAACTCTTTCATGCAAGCCGGTAAAACTGACGATTATACAAAATTGGAAACTTTCAAGCAATTAGTAGAGAAAAAGCAGCGATAGAGGGGATAAACACTTTGGTTCAGAGAACTTTGACAAGTTCTAGGAGTCAGATCTCTGTGTGTGCAAATAATCCGTGTTATGACCCAAACTGAGCAACTTCTCCACGTTTTTTAAGTGCCTCTCGTTCCTGTTGACTTAAAGTCATTGCCTTGTTGCTTAGACGCGAATCCGAGGCAGTCATATTTATAAGTAGATTAAATGGTGATGTGATAAAGTTGGAGAATCGTTTTTGAAAAGAAAACGTATATCATAAATATTCACACATACAAATTGTTAGTATAATGAGAGCAAACAGTTCAGTGACAAGCCGTTGACTGAAGAGCTTATTGCTACCGAGGAATACACTTGACTTTAACGTGCTCTTTAATCTTATTGTAAGTTTTTTCTTTTGAAATAAGGTTAGTCTGAAGAAAAGAGACTGGCTTTTAAATAGGCCAAAACAATAAATATAAATGTAAATACTTTGTTTATAGTGGAGGTGGAGTGCACTTATATGCTCTGGTTACAAAAGTTGATACACACAACTAATTTGAAACAAGTGATACAAGTATTAAAAAGGAATTAAAAGCCCTAACTGTCACGAGGCAATCAGTTGGCTATTTACTAGATTGGTGACTAACGATTTAAACTGGGAACGACCGAGAAACAAATCCCGCCATTTGTCGGGGGGGGGGGGATGGCTAGCCTGAAAATAGCCGACACCGCGGGACTCCACTACTGGTTCCCCCCCCCCCCCCCCCCATGGTGTGCATGGAGAGGGGCAGATAACCAACCAATATATACCACTCCACCAACCCCTCCTGGAGTGTGTTGACTTTGGGCGTAGGTTTCTTCCCCCCCGCACCACCACAGACAACCGACGACACATGTAGGGGAGGAAGCGGACCAACCCCCCCCCCACACATACACCCCAAGCAAGTAAAATAAAAAAAAAATTTAAAAAGGATACAAAACGCCAACTGGCACCGGGGAAATCAGTTGGTTTTTTATAGATTTGGTGACAAAGGTTTAAACCGGGGAAGACCGGGAAAAAAAACCCCCCCTTTGGTGGGGGGGGGGGGGTTGCTAGCCCGAAAAAAGGCCGAACCCCGGGGCCCCCCCTCTGGTTTCCCCCCCCCCCCCCCATGATGTCTGAGAAGCGAGCGTAGAAATTCCACACTAATGACACGTCAGTACGCCCATCTGGGAAGTGCTTCTGATTGGTTGACGCAATTTTCCCACGCTGCACGACCAACCAGGAGCAGTACCCAGATCTGGGTAGTGAACCGCTATTTATATCAAAATCAGATGTTCAGAAGGTACGAAGTGCTATCAAAATCATTTGTTTAGGAGGCGCAGAGTTCTTAAAATCAGCTATTTAGATGGAAAACAGCTGTTTTTATCAAGAGGTGCAGAGTGCTCCAAATCAGCTATTTAGATGGAAAACAGCTGTTTTTATCAAAAGCAATCGTTTAGAGGTGCAGAGTGCTCAAAATCAGCTATTTAGATGGAAAACAGCTGTTTTTAATCAAAAGCAGGTGTTTAGGAGATGCAGAGTGCTCAAAATCAGCTATTTAGATGGAAAACAGCTGTTTTTATCAAAAGCAAGCGTTTAGGAGGTGCAGAGTGCTCCAAATCAGCTATTTAGATGGAAAACAACTGTTTTTTATCAAAAGCAAGCGTTTAGAGGTGCAGAGTGCTCAAAATCAGCTATTTAGATGGAAAACAGCTGTTTTTAATCAAAAGCAGGTGTTTAGGAGATGCAGAGTGCTCAAAATCAGCTATTTGGATGAAAAATAGCTGGTGAAATCAAAATTAGGTGTCTAGGAGGTGCAGAAGAGAATAACCTTCTATGAAGCTTTTACTTTTATATCCGAATATCACCAAACATCATTTCTTGGCCTATTTTGATGAAAATAAAGAGGGAATAACTTTCCAATTTTTTGACCAAAATCATGGGGTAACCTCTTTAGAAAAATCCAAGATAATGACTTTATGACAACGATTTCTTTATAATTCTATAAAGTTTGTTTTGAATTTAAATATCACCAAACATCATTGCTTGGCCTATTTTGACGAAGAATAAAGAGAGAAAAAGTTTTAATTTTTTTGACCACAATCATGGGTTAGCCCCTTTGGAAAAATCCAAGATGGTGAGTTTATAAAAACGATATCTTTAATGTTTTGAAAGACTTGTTTTATATTTTAAATATCAACAAACATCGTTTTAAAGGCTGTGGACTTTGTCTCCGGTTTTTATTAAAAATGAAAATTTCACCAATTCTCCATACTCCCTCACGTGTCAAAATCAGGCTGTGCCAAAAAGGTAAAAGATTCCTCACGAAGTAACGCTGTTAACTTTTAGTTTATTGCTATAGAAATGCCCAAGATGTACAGAAACATTATTTTAACAAAATGACAGCAATGTAAAAAATATGTACCAACTCTGAATTACGGCAGTCTACGTTCTAGTAAATACAAAATGAAATGGGGTTGTGGAACAACAGGTGGGTGAAAAACCTCCTGTACATCACTTGCCCCTAAGAGGACCCCCCCCCCCCGGCCCGCGGGACCCCCTTCCCAAGGCCCCCTGGGCTGAACCCACCAGTAGGCCCATTTTTACGAATTGTTTTTCAAAGAAGGCGCCATATATATTTGGTCCCTTTTTCTTTCTTCACATTCCCCTAATCCGCGCCCCCCCCCCCGGCCAGCGGTACCCCATTCCAAGGTCTCCTGGGACTGAACCGACTAGTAGACCCTTTTTAAGATATGGTTTTCCAAGGATGCTGCATTAATATATTGGTCCATTTTGCTTCATTCAAATCAACTGTCATAGATCTTGAAATCTGTAAAGATATAGTTGCTCTATTTGAGGACTTCCAGTTCTATGGTCAGGCAATTAACTCTGTACACCAACTGAGACGTTTTTCTTTGAAAGCTGTTCCCGGAGAGGGTGCTTCTCCCCGACGAATTCTGTATCGCGGAAACTTGGCAGGATTTTCTGTCTTCACATACCATTATCATGTTACTCTTACATAAGTTTCCTATCCATGGACGTTTAAATTACCATTATAGGTATTTGGTTAAGTTTTTAATTCCGCTTGGAAATTTTGATTGGACTCACTGTTAAATAGTAATAAATACTATTATCAACATTGAAAATATGAGAATTGAAACATTTCGTAGAGTACTTTTCAGAACACAAACTTCGACTGAGCTGAACAAACTTTACTGAATTCCAAAGCATTACCCACACCTACCTATATTTTCGACTCCCTTTCGTTGATAACAATGTTATCGTATCTCGTCCAGTAAACTTAGAACGCCATCTCTTTTCTTTAATTCCACGCTTTGTAGTTAGACTAAGACAAACGGTTTGCGAGAGAGCAACGTTTACGGTACATCTTCTTGACCAACAAAATATTCCTCAAGGAATTTAAATTTTTCTCGGCGCCGCAAAGCAGTGACTTGGTAATTAGATAAGCAGTGTTTTCTGATTGGCCCCTACGGTGCACGTGCTAACGAAGCGGGAAACAATGAAAAGGTTGTTTTATATCAATGATGCTGCACAGAAGTTTTGAATTATTTAAGGAAACATTTACAGTTGCTTTGCATTTAGAGTTTTATAAATCCGGTAAAGCGATTCGTTAAATCCGGAAGGTTTAGCAACGAAAGTGGTAAAAAGCAAAAACAATGGGTTTAATAAACACAACAACCATTTGTCGCTCGTGCAGCACGCTTTTCGGTAATGTCTTCAGTTTGATGTCCCTGTAACCCTTCACGACCATGAAATGACAATTCTTAGTTAATATTTGAGGTTGTTTGAACGTAAACACACCTGGACATCTTAACTGGAGAGTGGTCCCTCAAAATTCAGCTCCAGGGAAATTCACCAACATTTACCATTTTAAGCGACTTGGAATAAACAAGAAAAAGTTTGAAGAAAAAAGAAAGCGAATTTTATTTATAAGTGACGTTTTCGCCTGCCGTCGTTTTTCCTATGAACTCCCTACCTTCATTTACGAGACACGCCTTTTGGTTTTAAAGCAAACTTGTTTTTGGCACTACAAATTATTGCAGGATTAAATTAAAATAATCGAATTCAAACTATTGACTTTAGAACTGTTTTCAGATTTGGGATTTAAAACCTCTGAAGACTCAACCATACCAGGACGTTTTTATTTCGGATTTACATATCTTCGTCCTGAGACTCACATCAAGGAATAGTTGAAGGGGGGAGGTGTGCCGCCGAGGCCTTAAAACCATCAGACTCTGTCAGTTAAGAAAAAAAATGTTCATTATGCTACCCTGTTTAAGACGAGACTTAATTTTATGACCCTGAATCTTTTCATTCATTCCGAATTAGATGATTACACACGATGGAATAAGATATGTTTTGGAAAAAAACTGTTGGTATCACGTCTGGAGCCCTTAAACCCAGGCTTCCCATTCTTTGCAAAGGCTTTCGGTAAAAAAAGGCACCCTGTTCAGGAACTCTAAAATTAATAGTAAAATTTTATAACCCTGTATTAGACTCAAGACCCAGAGCTTTTGAACCCTAGCTGTATAAACCCACTTAGGCAAAATAAGGAAATGTTCCGCGCCCAAGATTTGCGTGTAAACGCTGACAGGAATCTGATATCAGAAGCTTCCGGAAAAAAAAAATATCGACTCTAGTGCAAATGTAGCCTTGGAGCGCTTTCTGTTTGTCAGAACTAACGGGCCAGTACACTCCCGTCGTAATGAGAATTTCATTTTTAATCAAAGCTATCCATTCAGACCAAACGAAATAGCCGAAACGCTTGGAGAGAGGCCTATTTCAGTTTCAAAATGACTGGTCCGGCCATGGTCCGGCCGGCCAGTTCTGACTTTTGGTAAGCACCCTTAAAGTAAAGTTTTACGTGCCATGTTTAATAAAATCGACAGTTGCAATCAGATGTCAATGTAATATTTTGGAGGGAAAGATTAACCGAGTCTTCCATGAACAAAACGCGCGCAGAAGAACGTTCTATTTGGTCTTTATGACGTAGGGCTTTTTAATCGTTTCACGTCGCTAAACAAGTTTAGTCGTGTTGCGCTTTGGAAAGAGAAAAGCTATTCTTGACAAAATGAAAACGTTTTTAATCTACATAATTTTCCTCCTAACAATGTTAGGAACTTTGACTGCTTCGGGAAATGTCATCGAGGAAGGTAAAACTTGCGTTATTTTCAAATCTACTCTCTTCGCGATATTTTTCTCGATGGCGTAAGCTACCAGCAAAAGTACTGGGCACGCGCGAAAATCATTATTTTTCCCAGACTAACTTTGCTTTTGCCTAAAAGTTATCAAACTATTGCCCCCAACTTTTCATTCAAAAGTGTTAAAGCTTGTTAATTTCGTTTAGGATTAAATTTATCTGGTTGTCGTTAAATCATTCTTCTTGGCTTCAAACCGAAAAAAAAACTTTATTTGTTTGGATGGTTATGTTCTCTTGGTTACTTGTTTCTAAGGAAGCGATTCTCGCGCGCGCGGCAAAAATTTCTTACAACATCAAAAATTTCCGTTAAGTTATTTGTTGTTCCTGCAAGTTTAAATACATTTATTTAATTTCGTCTCTTTTAAAATAGGTTTATCAGTGTAATCTAGTGGTAGTCATCATGCGTAGGATCTTTTATATTCAAATTGATGAGCAATAGCACTTATACCATTAGAGATAAAATATTTATTGTTCTTTGATTACCTTCAAATGCAGGAGTCAACGTAGTTGAAGAACCGTTTCATCGACGCTTTACTGTTATTGAAGACTTTGGAGGCAAGAGCGCTTTTATCGAAATCCACCTGACGTCGATTGATATGCTTGTCTCCGTGACGGTTAACTCAGTCAACAAGTCAGTCAGCAGTTTTACAACAGCCTATTTGCCTGGAAAAACTTTTACAAATGAAGTAAGTTTATAGCAAAGTAAAGAAGTGCCATATGAAAGTAAAGGCGTTACCTCTTTTATTTTTACCCGGCAGTAACCCATATTAGCAAATCCAACTAGTGGACTGCGTTTTGATTGGTTGAGCTACTACCAGGCTATATGTTATAGCCTACAAGAAGCGAAAAGCGCCGGCATTGAAATCAAAAACAATGACGGCTGAATCGCCTTTTTCTAGCTTAAGTTGTTTCGTCTCGATATTTTAGACCAACTAGTCGGATTTTACGGCCTCATGGACTATTGACTCAGAGCCCCTTAGGGCTCAAGGAATAATTGTTAAATAGCCTCCATTAAGGTCTGAGACGTAGTTTATGGATGTCAAAGAGACGAGAAAACGTTCTTACTTACTGATTTGTCCATATTAAAACACCGAGCATTTATAGCAGTTAAAAGGAATGCAGTGTTCTAAGCTAGGAATGTGAAAGCGGCATCATTTGGCAATAGAAGGTCAAATACGAAAAAGATGCCCTTTCTGTGTGTGTATCAAATGGTAAGGGTTTGGACCTCTCGGGGGAGCCTCTCCGTATAAGAGTTTGTGGAGTGCCCCCCGGGGTTTCTCATAACGGAAATTAAACGACGGCTGAAAAGTTGCAAGCGAGCGTCTTTACCTATTGACGGAATATCAGCTCCCGTTCCGAGTCAGACATCATATTTCGCTGGAAAACGCAAAGTTTGGGATGCTTTCTCGTGCTGATAAGTCGATGGTTTGTCTTTCTTCTCTGCAGATGGAAATGGAGAAAGAAAAAGAAATGGACGTGGTAAAGGTTGATACAAACCAATCAAGTAACGTTTGTTCGATGACAAACAAGGCATGGAACAGTCTCTTAAGTGCAGTTAAGTCAGCTGTAAAATGGCTGCACATTGGTATCGACGGGCTGAAAGACTCAAACTCAGACGCATTTGCTCGAAGGACGGTTACTGCATCGGATTCTACTAGCTCAGCAGACGGCGTAAGTTTGAGGTTTTTCTCATGCTATTCAAGGTAAAAAGTCGAAGAGAGCTTTAAAAAATATGTGCGATTGCACTAGGAAACTGGAAGCTTTTTTACAAAAGTAAACACCGTCTCGCTAAACTAAGTTGCAGTTTAGACTGAGAATGTAATTGAGAAATCAGGGCAGCTATAGTTATAATCAAGACTAAAATAACAGGTAGGTAGGACTAGGAGATGATGTAGCTAAAGCGTTAAGCCGGGCTGCAGTGATATACTATCTGCCTGTAAATTAAAAAATAATAAGTCCCATGATAAGCTTTCCTCTAGCTTGTATTAAAATGAATTTGATTTTTACAACGCTTTGAAGTTTAAAAAAGCGAGTAAGTTCAAAACGTATTGTGATCAGCACTGCTATGTAGCTTTTTTCAAAAAGGGTTAGAAGCGCCTGTGAAAACCCGCGGTTAAAATCATTGCGTAACAGCCTGAACGTAAGTCGCACGAAACTCGATCTGAGATTTCTGGCCAATGCGCAGGCGCTGGTTAGTTTTTTGGTTAGTATTATAGAACGTGTGAGGAAGACATGCAAAAGGACACTTTTCTTTTACTAACCTTGCGCGCGTGTGCGTCCTTAAATTCCTGCCTTTCACCCCACCCCACCAAAAAAAATTGGAACCCGTCACGTAGGCTAATTAAGAAAAAAAAAAGTTTAACGAGGACAATTAGCTCTTAACGATATATTCTGCACATTCTTATCGTCCTTTTAGATTGTGAATCACAGCATGTTCATGGACGTAACTGATAAGGATCAGACACTAACCTGCCCCGTGGCTTCCAGTATTCAGTTGATGACACTGACTGAAAGCAAGCTTGACAGCAAGTCTTTCTCTATGAAGTCTGAGGATGGTAAAGTTAACACAACCCTGCCAGCTACAAGCCTGGAGAACAGAGAAACTAATGTTACCGCGTCCTCTGGCAAGGCTGAAAGGGAGGTGAATGAAATCAAGGAAAATAAACGCCGTGAACCAATCGTGGTATTCATCGGTCATTCTGACAGTGAAGAACTAAGTAAAGATGAATCATCTGAACTTCCAAAATTTACGCCCTCGTCCTTCTTTGGTTTGCACCCCGAAATCCGTTCATCAAACCGACAAGAAAACGATGACGTTATGTTTCTTGGCGTTATGGAATACTATGGTATGGCTTCAAATAAAACAGTTCGAATTCATGAATACCATGATACCGTTGCAAGCCTTGACCGTAGGGAAGAAGAAACTTCCACTGCACTGGGAACGTCTTCCACTGAGAAAACTCATCCCAAGGAAAAGGGGCTTGCACTGCAGCCGAAGGACACTGAGATCGGAACCTTTTCTCTTCTGGATGAACCTCAGTCTACCTTGAGAAATGAAACCTTGTCCGATTTGGTTGACACAAAAAACCAAACAACCAATGTTAACTCAGAGAAAGCAGATGAACGCAATGAGAATGTTAAAATATTCATTGATACACTCACTTCATCTAATAACACCAAGGAAGATTTATTGATCTGTCTAAATCAGCCTCTAACTGGTGGCTCCTCGTTAAACAAGGTTCACAGTGGAGTGTGCATGAAGGACGGTGAAAGGCTTGGCCTCCGTATTGATGATTTACCTTCCCTGACAACCGAGTACCAAGATATTACATTCCTGCGAGGTTCAACTGCCAAGAAATCGCGGAGTAGGTGGATGACCAACCTGGCCAAAGACGAGTCTACGCATGCTTTTTACATCACTGGTTTGAATCAAAGTGGCACGGTAAGCGATAAGTATCGTTGATAAGTAAGGGTCAGTTCTGCGCGAGTACTGAGTTGACCTATGCCAGTAGTAGTCTAGATACAACTCTGAATATTCTTTTTTCTAGAAACGTATTGGATTTTTTATTGCTAGGATTTCGGCTCTGAAATGAATTTAAGACCCAATCTGGCCAAAAGATGGAACTTCGTTTCGATAGTTCCGAATTAAGCACCACAATAAATCCCAGTGTTTCCTTCTACCAGCTGCATTGATTATATTGCCCCAATCTCACAAGTGCTTACGCGTGCACTTTCGGCGCATTGGCCCGTTAGTCAAAAGTCCCGTTAATTTTCGGGCCCGAAATCAAATATTCAACTAACACAAAACACTAAAAGGAGGCTGAAAAACTGTGTAGGAAGGTGAGGCCTGCTGCACGACTAAAGTTATATAATCAATAGGTAACAGACAGGGATAAATAAAAGATGTACTGAAAGATTCTATGATTTAATAACAGCAATGTAGAAAGATTTGAAATTGAGACTACAATATGATTGTCTTTTCTCTGTTTCTTTTTTTTTTTCTCGTTGAACAAAATATATTTTACTCCAACATAATTTGTCTTTGTTTTGAATTTCCTTTCTGTTAATTGTGTTTCTTTCTTTTGATGAAGGAATGTTGTTCGAAGAAGACTAGTCTATCAGTAGACTCAAGCTGGTTCATTACAAGGCTGTGGAACAGAGGTTTGGTATCTGTTGGCTTGCGTAAGCCCAGCAGCGTTCCCCGGAAAACAACAAAACGACCACAGTATCAGCGACTGACAGATGTACCAGTCAGCGTGAATGTGTTTGAGATATGTATGACAGAGATAAATCAAACTGGCCCGGTAAGTATCTTTTCTTGTCGTTTGTTATATTGCATTGCTATGAGGATATATACGAGAATTCCTACACGCTTTTCCTTTAATAAATTGTAGGTTCAAATTTGGAATGCTGTAAAACAAGTTAACCAAAACCTTTGTACTGTAACTTCAAATATTTTAATCGAGCATAAAATTACCGCGTAATTAAGTTTGATTTTAATTACTTGTTGCTGTTTTTGTTGCTGCTCGATCTGATCAAAGCTACTTCGGTTCTACCGTCTCATCGAGATTTGCAATGATAGAAATGACTCCTTTTTAATTAGGCATGCTGGTCAATTACAATTACAATTACAACTCCGCCTTTTGCCCTGTTTCAGAGTTAACCCAGGATGAGAACTAACCGGTACTTGGACAAATTTAGCCAGGATTATTCTATGTTTCAATGTATTTCACTAAAAGTTATTTTTACTTAACGAAGAATATAATTAAGGTAATAATAGTTTGAAAGTGAATCGTATATCTTTTTCTTTCTCGAATTAGGAAACACCATGTTGCACAAAAAAAGCTGCCAGACGCCAAGCTGAATCAGAGTCTTACACTACAAAACTGTGGATCAAGGGCGTGGAGTTTGCAGACTGGATCCGATCAAATGAAACTCGGGAAAAGGCTTGGGATCTAGCGAATTGTAAGTATAGAGTGTTTTCACATGACGTCACGGCGGCCATATTGGTGTCCCAATAAATTTGCCTATATGCTGGCCACGTGAGTGAAAACACTCTATTCAGGTGCCTTTAATCTTTGCAGTCATTCCTTTTACGCCCAGAGGAATAGAACAACAACAGCCTACGATTGCTTTACATCTCTAGTTTAATCCAAAAGAAATATAAATCTCTCCCAGTATATTTCTTCTACTTTGAAAATATGTATTGATTGATCATTTTGTGAGTCGAAACTGGATTTGAAAGTGACATGTCAATCTTTGCTTTGTTTGTTTGTTTGTTTGTTTGTTGTTTCTTAATTGCGAAATTGTTTTTGTTCATACTGAATTAAATTAATAAAATACTTCCCAAAAGTTGTTATGTAACAGCGGAAATATTTTTGAGATAACGATGCTTAATCCGAAGGAAAACAATGAACAGTTTTGATCCTCACATTCAATATTGCAGGTTTGATCCTTGCAATTAACTGATGTTTATTAACTCTCTTCACGGAGTTAGTGTAGAAATATAAGGAATTTTGTGTCTGCGCCTTGTTTGTTAAAGATTACTTACTATCGCTCAATCTCTTTTCAGTTTATTCGACAAAATTCCTTACGAAAATGATGAACTGGACCTGGCAGGACACGTTTGATATGATGACTATGATCTTGGCGACTGAATGTTGCTACACGGCCATGTACCTCGCAATTCCTTTGATTATAAGCATCATCAAAAGTTTTATTCGAATGTTGATTCAAAAATGGAGGTAAGAGAATACGTGTCGAGTTTCCCTTTTTTTAAGCAACAATACCGCACCAAATTTCTACGTTCCTGGCCCGGTTTCTCCTTACGAACCACGGTCAGTCGAGACTTTTGAGTTTCGCACTAAAATAAAAATACAAAATTCAGTGCCAAGTAGCAAAAACGGTAGATCTGTTACATACGTCTATGTAGACTGTGACAACGTTAAGACAATGGTCCAACACAACCTTTTTAATGGCTGATAGAATATTATGCTTGTGGAAAAGGTTGCCAGACCAAAGAGTAAAGACCCCACAAAAAAAGCCGTGACCACGCCCTTTTTGCGGCGGTTCAAGAACAACTACTTTATGCGGGCAGCTGCTCAGTTGGGTTTATTAAACATTTTTGTTAACTATCTAACATAGTACGCTCGCTCTGATTGGCCGAGAGGCGTGTTTGCATGAGAGTAAACATGGTTATGACATCAAGATGTTTTGCTTTTCGCGCGCTAATCACGCAAGCACGAATTTGGAAAAGTGTTTTTTTTTTTAGTTAAAAACGGGTCTTTACAAGTTTGTTTTATTTACCCATTCGCTCTTCGGCTTAGGCCTGGTTCAGATGCCGTACTTTTCATGTTCCGAACTTAATTCAATTAGTTTGACTTTGGAGCGATACTTGCGACATCTGATTCATACGGCGTACCGTGTATCGATCCGAGGTTAAGTTCGACAAGAGTTCGACAGACTGTCGAACTTAACGCTTTTGCCGCACCAAACTAAAACTGCCGTACCAATTTGATTCAGACGCGGCTTTGCCGTACTTAATTGATCAGTTCGGTTCGGCACATGAGTGGAGCGGCGTCTGAACTGAGCCTTAAACACTTAAATGTTTGCACTCTCCTTTTGCAGTTAGAGATGTGGTGTAACCATGGCCCTTCCTCGCGTATACGTTTCCCTGACTAGCTTAAAACAGAGATTTTCCGCTCCGGTTTAACCTACCGTCCACTCGTATCCGATGAAAAGGGTCACGGAAAAAGCATCTTTTAAAAAACGCTCGCCCGAGTGAAATTTTTGAAAACGCCTGCTTTTCGTTTACGTGTGGACGAAGGAAATTGGAGGTTTTCGAATACGATGATTTCGATCTTGCATCATATACTATAAGCATTACGCATGCTCTGTGAAGGATGCTATCGTATTTCCATTGTTTAATTCGGTGTTTTTGTGTGGTCGGCGAAAACGAATAGAATATTCTACATGTGGACGCGTATTATTTCGCAAACTGAGTGAAAAATCTCCATTTTCAAACATATCCGGATACATGTGGAAGGAGCCTTGAGGGCTTGAAAATAGAAACTACAATGGGTATCAGCTGTTTCAGGGTTTACTTACGGTTAGGGTCAGGGTCAGAGTTAGGGTTGACATTAACTCTAAGCCTAACCTAACTCTAACCCTAACTCTAACCGTTTTGTACCCTAAAACAGCATTCTTTTTAAAAAAGATTGACCACGACGTGGCTCTGGCCCCAGTTCAGGGACCGCGTTTAACTGACACCCGTCTACAATAAACAACACGCACACCGCAGCTGTAAGCAACAAAACATTGCGCGACATCAAGAAACACCCCCGCATTGAATTTTCACCACTGATCGACGCTCTTTTGAGTGATTAAATACCAAATGAATATATTTCTTTTTCGTTTTGCAGATTGTATTGTAAAAATCGCCAATACCAACTGGAAAAAGAGCTTGAAAGATTACGTCAAGAAGAACTTGCACGCGAAAGAGCAGCTCGACCGAAACCATGGCGACCAAAACAACCTAGAAAGAGGAAGGTTAATTTTTGTGGCAGATTGCAAAAATGGTAGCAATCAATAGACTTCTGGGGAAAAGCAAAAAGGTCGTTTCTATGTTAAGTCACATTTGTGAGATATTGAGAACTTTAAATATATTATTTTGTAAATAAAGAAAAATGCTTGTTTTTATATCTTTGGACTTGTGGTTTCTCTAGTTATACTGTTGGCATAAAAGAGAGGAGGGTCTTTCCCCTAGAGAACAACAGTCCTTAATTGTTCCAGCAATATACAGTTAGTACCTTATTCTCCTTAATTTTCGCGGGTTCTTAAATTCGCGATTTTCGCGATTTTAAAAAATTCGCGAACTTAAAGACCCGCGAAAAAAAACGACCGCGAACTTTGATCTCGCGAAATTTAATGGACATAGAAAATCATGTACTTGTGTTTTCAAGGGTCCTAAATAATTTTTAACACAAGGTGTTAGTACAAGGAGCTATCATCTATCAACTTCGGATGTTAATTTTTAAAATTTTTCAAACTAAACTAGTGAGCAGCACTCTGCGAACTGTTGCTGTAAAACTTGTTTATTACTTATTTTAGCTAAAACCGTGGCCCCAAAGTTTTCTCACGCCTTGCGTAAAAAAATTCACAGCTGCGCCTGTTCCTTTTCGTAAATCCGGCCAAACCTTCAATGTTTGCGACCATCATTAGTTTTATTCATATTATGGCTTAAATACAGGCGTTTAGTACTTGATTGTAAAACTCCCTGAAGAAGTTTACGTTAGTTAGACGAAACGCGTAGGAGAATAAACAAGTTTTAAGCAACAGTTCGCAGAGTGCTGCTCACTAGTTTAGTTTTAAAAATTTCAAAAATTGTCACATCACTAAAGGGTGGGAAAAGGCTGGCATCGCCCATCTATTAGATGAATCTTTTAGTCTTCCCCCTGNTCAATTTCGCGAAATTAAATTCCCTGCAAACACAATTTTTCTCCGCGATCGCGAAATTAAAGACTCGCGAAATGTGCCGAGAAAATTTTCGCGAAATTTAAGTCCCGCGAAAATAAAGGAGAATAAGGTATATTTACTGCCCCACTTAAGCAAGTGTTTGAGATCCTAGTTCAGTTCATAATCTGTCATTACCAGGCCAGATTAGGGAAACCATCGAGAAGGCCGAAAAGATAGTCATGTAGTCTTCACTTTGCATTATGTGCTGGGAACAGAGGGAAGAACTCTATATACAGGACCACAAAAACGAAAATAACTATTTAAGACTGTGCCGACATGGATTGCAGACACTGTTCACTGTTCTCGTTGCCCAAGCCGCTTAGCATTACACGATTTTATATTGTGTTTAAGCAAACTATAAATATTATAGAGAGCTTCGCGTAAATCTATTTATTAAATACTGTAACCGCTTATTCTGTTCTCAGTTAGCTATTCCAGCCCCTAATAAAGACTAGTTCTGTTTGGTCGAAATGCTGGGCAAATTATAAATTTGTAACCCTTAGCTCTCCGATTGGCATTGCCCTATTTGGACAGTCGTAGCTTGCTGAATTCTTAAGTGACTTTTTCATTGGTTCGTGATGATGAAAAGACAGCATTCTTGGTTTGCAACCACGTGGCAAGACGGCCATGTTGGGGATCAATACAATATATTTTTACTCCAAGAAATTGCATGAAAATAGATTTGAGTTCCTAGAGGAGAGAAATGCTTTTTTTTTTGACCACCAACATGGCCGCCGTGACGTCACGCGCAAACCAGCAATTAGACTCATCAGGAGGCCGCTAGATTTTTTAAAAATGTTGTTTTTCCGAAAAGAGTATGTCTGTGATTTTCTTGGAAGTTTTAAAATAAAGTTTATTGAGGATGGATGGAGAACCAAACACCTCAGAGCCCCTACTTTAGAGCTCGGCCATTTAAAATCTCTCCCGGCCGCGAGGGAGAGCCACTGAGGGATTTCACCTTTACCTCTGTAGTTTGCATCAATCCAAAAAGCTTCTGTTTTCTTATTATCGAGTCTAAGGTAAGACACCTCGTAAAAGTCATCTAGCAAACTTAACGAGGATAGAAGGGAGTTCCTCGATCCATCAAGAATAAGCGTTGGGTCATCTGCGAATTGACTTATTGTCAGTAATCTCTTAGTTTATAATTTACATTATCATTCGAAGCAAATTTGTCTTTCTTTTCATTGGCCGAGAGCCCACCACGTGACCTGCAAATAACTGCCTACAAATAATGGTCTGCTCGTGCGCAATGCCGTCCAACTGTGTTTGGCTGCAAATCATGATATTCTGCTCATGCGTAAAGGAAACCGTGCTATTCTCCTTATTGCGATCGCTTTATTATTTGCGATCAAATAATTGATCTGCTCTTATAATTTCGTTTCCTCTTGCGCTGATGAGCTGGACAAACAGCTAACCCTTGAAGAAAACCACGGTTGCTCTTGACTACTTGAGACATTGCTACAAACTGAACTAATTGTAGTAATTTGCGATCTCTTATAGAATGACTTACAGGGAAAAAATAGAAATAGGAGGAGGACTGAAAACAATAGAAATGAGGAGGAGGTGAGAAACAATAGAAATGTGGTGGTGGTGGTGGAGGAAAACAATGGCATTGTAGTGGTGGTGGTGGTGAAAGAAAACAATTATATAGAAATGTGGTGGTGGTGAAGGGGAAAACAATAGAAATGTGGTGGCGGTGGTGGTGGGGAAAACAATAGAAAAGAAAAAGAATAGGCTATGACGTCATCGGTGTTAATATATTTCCCCGCAAGTTAATGAGATTCCCCCGCAAATAGGGGTTAATTCGGTGCGCCCTATACTACTATTATATCCTTAATTTTGCCTCGATCCTTTGCTAACACTACTTCGCGAAGTTCAATGTATATGTATTTACGAGGTTGGTCGAAATGTCGAGCTAAACGTTCTTGTTATAAAATTCAGTTGGTAAACCATCAGTGCCCGGGGTTTTTTTAGAGCCCCTAAACACTCCTCCTCGGTGATAAACCCCTCGAGAGATTCTTTTTCGTCCTCATAAAGATTTTTTTCATCGTCTCGTGAAAAATAAAAGGGTATAGTATAATTTGGTTTTGTGAAGATTCTTTGGGTGCATGAAGTCTCTTGTAAAAAGTACCACATTCAGCTAAGATTTCTTTGTTTGAAAAGATAAATTCTTAAATTTGAAAAGTAGCGTCTCACATAGAAACATTCCTTGGTCAGTATTCTTTTGTTTGGTA